GAAAAACTTCCTAGAACCTGGGAAAAATGTTATACAAGCTCCCCCTCCAAACTGAGCTTAAATCCATGTTTTTTCCTCATGTGACCTTAATTGCATGCCAGTGATTGACTCCTAGCAAAAATTCCTAGCATTTACTTTGTTGAAGCTACATCTTGAGAACCTAGATTTCTCCCAGACCTCCTTGTGACATGAGAAATCCCACCAGTTTTTGTGAATTTAAAAGCTTATTTACACAAATACTTAGTTTCTGGTCCCAGACGCCTCCAATGATAAATGAGAATCCACTCTAACATCAACAGAAACTTGTACAAGCCATAATGATTGCCAGTCATCTTCCTGCACGATGAGGCCTGGGTGCCTCCAGAGCCAGCAGGGTGTCTTTTCAGAGATGGAGGCTAGCCATGTGTTGGGCCTTATTAGCAAGAATACAGTGAGCAGTGATGAATCCCATCTTCATGGCATATGGAAAGCCACAAATGCTTTCCATGCACAGTAGTGTGAGACGTTGACACTCTGGAGAAAGTTCAGCAAAGGGCCCTAAGGTTGTGGTGGGATAGAGGACATAACAAGGGGTGGTTGTTTAGCTTGGGAAGAGAAGGCTGATTTTGTTAATTGTTGTCTGCTACCACCTACAGGGGGTTAGAGAAGATACTGCCTCAGTCTTCTCACAGGGGCATGGAGAAAGGACAGGAGACAGCAAAAAAAGTTTGCAACAAATGAACTTCTCTCCAGTAAGGATGTTTCAGCAGTGGAACAGGCTTGCTCTCAGAGATGACGGAGAATCCTTATGCTTGGAAATGTTCAGGTTTTTCCTGGGCAAGGCCCTGTGCAACCTGATTTAACTTTGGAGTTACCTTCTGGGAGCAGAGGGCTGGAGTGGAGATCCACAGAAATCCCTTCCTATGTGAATCCTTCAGGATTTTGTGATTAACAATGGATTTGCTTGACTTTGCCTTTTTTTTCTTTTTTTTTTCTTAGTGGGGTAGTAGAAGCAACCTTACAAGACAATGCGGATGGTTAATTGTCATCAGATGCCAAATAGAGAAGAAATGGAAAAACCAGCTCAGCTGCCACCACACTCTGAATTTCAGTCTATCACACAATCATGTTAATCCAGCATAAATGTGGTGTTACAGAAACAAGTGATGCCATCTTTCCTTTCATCTTTCAGTTTAAAAATGCACCATCTCTCTACCTAGCACTGTTCAAAGCAAAATGATTGGAGGTCACCAAACCAAAGACTTTATTCTCTTTATCAGTATTCTGGGGCACTGCTCTCCTCCTCAGTGATGTGCTCTCATCCACGTGAATCTTTCCAGAGATTCGTCTTCAAATTATTTTTCATAATATCACACGATCTTCGAGTTCCTCGTCTTCTTTTGTTTCATAACTTTCCTTCTAAGAAAACAAACAAAAAAGCATGTTCTTTATGAATAAGTGGAATTTGCCTGTAGCTTCCAGCGCTCCACTGTACCTTAAACTACAGGCTCATGTTCTCCTGCCATAACGTTTTGTGGAAGCAAAGCATAAGGCCAGAGCTACTTTTTCATAATTCCTCAGGACACATGTGACTAATCCTAGAGCCAGACATCCCCGTGCCCTATGCAGTACTCATCCCAAAGCATCTGAGAGATGTCCAAGCTGTCTCTTCTGTGTCAGAGACTCACACTGCTGCCGAATGAGACAAAGAGAGGATTTGAGCCCCAGAAGCAGTAGGCACATCCTGCTGTAGATGTTTTTCTTTGAGGGGGATACTTGATGTATTGACAGTTGAAAGCAACAGCAACAATGAGGATCGTGCCTGGCATGTCTTGACCAACCTCTCTTTCCTTGGCACCCAAGGAACCATCGCTGCTATTCTATCATACAGCTCAGCTGTTGACACTGGGGTTTTCAGCCCAAGGTGGCTGCAGAAAGCTTTGTCCTCATATTTCCCTTTCTTGCATGCACTGGGATACATTTTTGTTCTAAAGAAAACTCACTGCAGCCCTGGGATGTTTGGGAGACTATAGGATGTACTTCTGCTGGATTAAGAGCAAGGTATGAACTTCACAATGAGAAATGAGTCAAAATGTAACCTAGATTGCTGGAGGGAGTTTTGTAGATGACCCCATCACCCTCTGTGTTGCAAAACCACATCCTGCAGCATCAAAAATATCCCTTAATTAGATATCGGCCAAGATACTGGTACCCATTATCATCTCTACAGGTAGCTGTGGATGTCCAAAGATGATACAGCAGCACCCCATCTCTCCTCTAGGAGGGATCTGGAGGTCTTTAGAAAGAGAACAGGTTTGTATACTTCACAGTTAATGCTGGCCGGATACAAGATTCTAGCGACTGGAGAAAAGTACACATTTGGTACCCAACACTGCGCAGGAATGGCACCTTGGTAAAAGTCACTATACGCTTTTGGGGCAGGGTAGGCTGCTTTGCCTTAGGGCCAGAAGTCTCCCAGTTTTAATCCCAGCCTGTCCAGGTGACTGCCTGGCTGTTTAGAACCAATCTACCAGACAGCCTTTGCTCACATACTGAGCTCTGTCTGACCTGTTCTTCTCCACACAAAGGTGTTGGTTATCTCTTATTAGTGAGGGATTTCTTCCTGCTCAGTGTTTGCTGTAGCTCTGGGCAGACAATAATCAGGATGAGCTCCTTTGATGAACATTCAAACTGTCTGACCTCTACTCATGTAGCCGATAGCCCAGTGATCATGTCACAACATGATATCTTAGGTCAATTAAATTCTGTAGATAAATACAGATCACCTCAGAAAGCCAGCGCAAAGCAGAAAATTACGACTAGCCTCAAACTTGATGCTATGGGGACTAAAATGTGAAAGTGGAATCACTCAGAGAAAAACATGCTATCACAGAAATCTGGAAATGCAACGGAAAATTCCTTCAGCAAGACTAAGTCAATGATACTGCAGAATAGTGTTTTCTATTCTTATTTTACTTGGTACAGGCAGTTTGCATCCGCGCAATATACCAAATGAGACAAGAAAAGCAATGTATGAAGGTTGTGTGAGCACTTAGTGAGCTGGGCTTTTGTGCTCCACATTTTGGGTTGTCACAGTTGCATCTGTCATTCCTGCAGGCTTCCCACACCCTTCTCTATCGGTCCCTTTGCTGGTCAGGCACCCATGCAGGCAGTTCTCAGAAGGCAATCTTGTGCTGACCTGGCTTGGTCATTGTCATTTCTGCTGCAAAGTCCTGTTATGGGAGATGACGAAAATGTCACTCAAGAGAGTCAAGTCAGCATTTAAAATGGGTTGTTAGGGAGAAACGTCATCTGTGTCTTTGTTGAAGATAATCTGACTATGAGTAAAACAGTGCCTCCAAAACCTTCATTTCACAACATGACTGCTCAGCATAATAATGCCCCCCTCCAGTGCCAGACAGCTGCTGCCACTCTCCAGGGCTCTCCATCAGCCCTTGTGGCTGCTTATTGGGAAGCAGCAGCAGCACCAGCATGCTTTGCTGGCTTCTACCAGAAAGAAGCATTTTCTAGAGCAGAGGCACGGCTTCAGCTGAGGGTGTTTTGGGGGATTGGTGGGAAGTGTGTCAGCAAGCAGCATCTAGGAGTGAAAAGTAGGGTGGGACTGAGGGTGAGCAGGGAGCTCAGCACGCCCAGGGGCATACAGGCAGGGCAGAGATATCAGGTGGCGCTGGGCTGCAGAGCTGCACGTGTGGACCCATCATAGTTCCATCTCCTTGCACGCTCTCATCCTCACCCACACACTCACACCATCCTCACACTGCTGACTCGGGGGAAAGAGATGTTGACGTTTTCTGCTTGGACACCACAAACAGTTTTTCTCTAGCAGGAGGAAAACACACTTCCCCCCAGCTATCACAAGTTCCCCCCCAGCTTCTCTCCTCCCCTCTCTCCTGTGTGATCCCATGGACTGTGTAACACAAAGGGTGTGAAGAGCTGCAAAATCTTCTCCCAACGATCACAAGGTTGTTCCCAGTACACTGATCGCACTCTTCAGGGGACAGAAGATCTGTGTGCGACAGCAGAGATGAGAACTGTTACCACAACAGGTTACTGCTTCAGTAAGGCACAACTCTTGGTCTCTTTTATCCTCCACCCGCACCACCTGGCTGGGGAAAGCTAGAAAGTATGCAAGGATCCCTCAGCAGTGAGGCAGCCACCTTCCCCTCCCTTTCTCTAGCCCCAAGAAAAGCCCCAGCCCACCCAGCTAAGGGACTTGGGTGTCTGACACCCCACACAGAAGGGTGATTAAGTCTGAAAGAGTCAGAGCCAGTGGGCTGCTGGAAAGTGTGAGCCACGACAGTGGGGATTCTCTGAGGTAAAAGGGGGCCTGGGTTGAGGCGAATGAGTGGAAATGTGCTCGCACAGCATGGGAGCTAGATGGGAGCCAGAGCAAGTCCTCTCAGTGCACCAGCCCAGGTGGATTTTCCCCAGCTGTCCTGGAGAAGGATGTTTTCTCCACACAGTGTCAAAGCGTCAAAGCGTGCAGCCCCTCCTTCTCAGTGCTGGTCACTTCTCCTGGGCGTTCCACTACTGCCACTTCCACGTGGATGACCTTGTCTTGTCTTGGAGCACCTCAGCTTGCTCACAGACTGCCCCTGAGGACATGTAACTCACCACAGACCCTTTTCTCATGCTGCCTTCAAACTGACCAACGGAAGAAAAGTGCCCAGAAATCAATACATTGAGGGATGGAAGAGGATAGAAAAGGGGGATATCAGAAAAAAAAAATAATTACGAGTTCTGAAAAGCCCTGAAACAATTAGAAATAAGCTGTGAGAGGCGGAAAGATCAAACCAAAAAAGGCAAGAGATGAAAGAAAAACATGAAGAGCACTTGCTGGGAAGTGTCTTCTATACTTTTTCCATTGTCTGTGTAGAAGCAAAACTTGTAAGAAAAACAACAGCGACCCAAAGAATTTCCACTAAAAGATGCTTAGAGCAGTGCCTCTGGTCCCTCCCTCTTCTCTCTCACTGGCTTCAGCTCTGCCCTCACATGCCTCAGCCCTACGCCTGTTTCTTGGTCGTGACGCATCTTCTTAGTGATATGAGGAAATTAGCTGCCCACCTACAGTATAAGGGTGTCGAGGGAGATGCTTTGATCAGAAAGAGAGAGAGCACGAAAGCAAGCAAGACCAGCTGGCCTTCACTTTATTCACCCACCCACTCCAACACCTGCTTGCCCGTGCCTTATTTTTGCTGATCTCCGAAAGCTTTGGATCCCACTGAGCACAGACCAACTCTCACCTCTCCTGGAGGCCACCATGAGGCCGGTGCCCCCGGTGCTATTCCTCACTCTGCTGGCTATCAATGGTAAGAGGGACTGAATGCAGGGAGGGCAGAGAAGCTGGGTGAGCCGGGAGTTTGTCCCCTCCACATTATTTAAGCCCTTCATCCTTACTGCAGATAGCTAGATTTCACCCTCTACTTTGTGATCCCCCACCCTTTGCTCAGCCCTCCATCTCATTACAGCAGGCAACATCCTACCAGGAGCAGCAGAAGTGGAAAACAGAGGGCAGAAGGTGTGGGCCAGAGAAGGGAGTTCAGCTCTGCTGCCCTGCTACCTGAGCCCCAGGAAGCATGGGAAGAGTAGGAAACAGCAGTCTGACAGGACATCCGTGCTCTGGAAGCGGCACGGGGCAAGGTAGGCTAAGGCAAACAGACTTCTGTCTTCTTGTGGGTAGGGCTGCTTTCCCACATCCTCTCTCTCCTGCCTCAGCCCTTGATCTAGCCTTTGCTCCCAGCTAACCTACGCTCCCTTGTCCTGTCCCAGTGCCCCCCAGGAGCTGCACGTGGTGCTGGAGGTGGAGTACACAGGCCTGCGGAAGACGGCTCTGCCCATGAGGCCACGGGTGTCGGTCCTGGACTCTGCTTTACGCAATGGCAATTTCTCCCTGCATATCAACCCAGTCAGGAGTGACGATGCGGGTCTGTATGAGGCACAGGTGACCTACAACACGGAGGTCCAGAGCTGCCAGGTGGAGCTGGGGGTAGTTACAGGTAGGAGAAGGTGGAAACCCTGGAGAACTTTGATTTTAGGAGGCTGTATGGGTGGGGTTGTTGTTTGGCACAGTGTTTTGAGTACTGACAGCAGCCCCGTGAAAGCCCACAGCTTCCTGCCATCTGCTCTCAGTTCTGGAGAGGGCTGCCTGAAGGACAAAGCTGGGACAGAAGATGGACAAAGGGATGGCTTGGCAGTCCTCCTCTGATTAGCCCTCACTTCCCTCCTTTCTTTTTTGTTGCAGTAACCCTCAGTCCACCCAGACCTGTGGTAGAAAATGAGCCGCTTTTGCTGAGCTGCAACTCTAGCCACCAGGCCAGTCTGGTGGAGACATGCTGGTTTCACAATGGGCGCCCAGTCCTCGACTCTGGGGCCTTCTGCTCCTTGCACGGGGCTCTCTACATCCTCCGGCCCACCGTGAGTGACTCAGGATCCTGGCACTGTCAGCTCAGATATGCCGATAATGAAATCATTTCTGCCACACACAGCCTGCAAGTTCTAGGTGAGCTCAGCCTCTGTGTTGCTACTCCAGCATCCTTGAGTTGCTTCCGTTGGTGCGGCCACTGACCAACCCCAGTAGCTACAGCATCCCAGCTCTCATCCTATCCTCATTCCCCAGATGGTACTCTTTCCAGCCACCACTCCAAATTGTGCTCTGTCTCTCTCAACTAGGTTTTGATGGCCCAACCAACCCTGTGGTCTATGCCGCAGCTGGCTCTGCAGCTGACCTACCATGCACCCTGAACTACCTGCCCAGTGCCTTTGGAATCCATGTGGTGAAAGCCCACTGGAGCCACTTTGTAGGAGGACACTTGCAGAACTGGAGCATCTTGCAGAACCAGAGCAGCAGAAGCTTCCCCCTTCATCTCCCTGTGGTGGGGCCAGGTGACGCAGGGCGGTATTGCTGTGCTGTCACTGTTGGCAACAAGATGCTCAGCAGGGACATGACCTTGGCAGTAATAACAGGTGAGAAGAAAGACAAGTAGGTTCATCATGCCTTTGGGGTCCTACTCTGATAAACCTCCTTCTGCATCAGTGCAGTGAGCGTAGGTTGCTCCTGTTTGTAGATTCCTGCCCCAGGGTGAAAAACAAGGTTTCTATTTGAGGCATTGCACTGCTCTGGACTCTTCTTAAAGCAAAGACTTCCCTGGGCAACTTAGTTACTATTTGTCTGAAGGACTGAGGAAAAAAAAAGAAAAGAAATAAGAGGAGGTAATGAAGGAGGAATGTAATAGAAAAAGGAGGGTTTAGAAAGAGATGTGGATTTGCCTGTTGACTTTCCTGAAGGTAGCTTTCTCCTTTGCTGTAGTCACCCCAGGCATCCAAGGACCAGTTTCCGAGGGATCTCATTTGCTGCTCACCTGCAGCCTTACACACCCCCAGGGACATGAACATTTCCAGTGGAAGCACCTCAGTTCTGACTCTGCTGGCAAAAAGTTGACTGTGGCCACCTCCCACAACCTGAAGGACAGCCGAGTCCAGACTGGTCCTATCTTGGAAATACCCCAAGTGTCACAGAAGGATGTAGGCATCTGGGAATGCAGTGTATATGGCCCAGAAGGCAGACTAGGATCAGTGGAGTATGGACTGCAGATCACAGGTACTGTCTCCTGCACATCTGAAACCAGTCCCTTCTTCTAACCTTGTTAATTCCCTTGGTCACTTCTTCTTTTGGTCTCACCCTATCTTTGACTGAATCCCACCTAATTGTCATCTTGTCTTAGCTCTCATCACTTCTCCCCATTTCTCTATCCAGTTCCTTTCATACTTTTCCAATTTGCCTTTGTTTGTGCAGTCCAGTCTTGCTTCAGTGCAAAATAAACCTTTGCCTCCTTCTTAATTGTGGTTCTTCCTCATAGGTGCCCAGGTCTCTGGCCCTCCCACCATCTTCAGTGGTCAGGTTACTTTTGGACTCATGCTCACCCTTTTTTTCCTGCTTATGATCTGTGTTCTGGCTCTGGGGCTGCAAAAAAGGGTAAGTGTCCATCATTTCTGTAGTTTTCCTCTATATCGCCCCTTATTTGACCTTCCCCTGGGTACCCTACAGCCAGCAATGAAGTGTCTGAGCTGGAGGATGAAAGGGGAAATCTGTGGGATGAGTCCCTGGCTGTGGTGCTGAAGGTGCACAGATGCGTGGTGAATGTCATACACCAGGAATCAGAAGGTCTGGCTAGTACCAGGGTTTGTTTGGTGGGTACAGGTCAGGAACCTCCAAGGAGGAGTTGGAAGTCTTTGGGGACGTATGCAGCCAGACTTGAAAAGCTCCTTGTTTACTCTCACAGAGATCAAGCCACACTGAGGCAAGTGAACCTCCAGGCTTTTGTAGGTATCCTCTTGTTTTCCTGGATGCTTTGATATGGCAGATTAGTCTCTCATTCCATACAAATGCCTATCAGTTCCCGGATGCTGATCTTAACTCGGGTCTGTTGTGCTGGCTCAGCCCTCCTGCCTCTGCCGTTTGCTTCCAGCAAGCTACTGCCCTTTATTTGTACAACTTCTTCCAGTATTTCAGCTTGCTGCTGAAAACAAATTGTGCAGACAAAACACACTGTTTCTTTGCATTTTTTTCATGATTTCTTTACAAATTAACTTCATGGCAAATTCTTCCATCAGGATTTCTCTTTGCTGGCAAGGGGCAGGTCTCGTGAATATGCAGCACTCTGTGTGATGTAGCTGCTTCTACCTTGCTTCTTGGAGAGGGCCAACAGTGAAAATTACCTTCCAGTGCTGTGGTGGCCCAGGGCTCAGAATGATCTCAGGTGTGGGCACTTAGCTCAGCAAAGGGGCTGGGGGGCTCGAACCTGCCCTGAACTGGAGAAGAAATGTGACAGCAGTGATGCAAATTCCCAGCAAACCCCAGTGGCTGAAAGCTGAGGACAGGCAGCATCAGAACAGAAGCAAGATGGGCTTTAAAAAAATACTGTGAGCATTGCCAGAGTGACTTGTGACTTGTGACTTGTTCTTCATCATCCGTTCTTAATTAGAACTGATAGAGGGAGAATTAGAACTAGAGGGACTAATCCAGAGTTTCTGTAGATTTCTGGGTTACTCTTTAGACTGTGCAAGCCTAGGGGTAGGATGAGATGATCAAACCCACTCCCAAATAGGATACAGAGATGTCCAGTTTTGTTAGCTTAAACAGCTCTAATCCAGCCGAATATTAACATCTCACAGCATTTGTATATGATCTCATGGCCTCGCTGTGTGAAGTAAACAAACCTCTTCTGATGAAACAGAGATCCACTGATGGTTCTCAGGCCCTTTTCAGCAGAAACTCCCTGTTGGGCTCATCCCTCGTGAAAATGCAGATAAGAAGGAGCAAATATATCTTCTCCTTCTCTCCCTCTCTTTTCTGGCATTTTCTAATACTACATTTGTTCTTCTTGCATTGGTCAAACACCAGCAGCTTGCAGATATCCCTTCCTTAGCTCCTGCCAACACAGTAGGCATTCCTGTTCTGAATTCCTAAACCCACCAGTGTACAGTTGGTACTGTTTCTTTCATCTCCTTATTCCATTCTACTGAAATATCTGGGTCTTAAGTGACATTTTCTTCTTCCAAACATGGCTCATCAGCGTTGGCTTATCTACAGCACAGATCAGCACTTTCACACACTATGCCGTTATTGACTGGTGCCACAGCTGATCTTTGAAGACCTATGCTTACTATTTCTACACAGTCTGGTAGAAACCAGCCAGCAAACTCCCAGTCCCTTCCCTTTATGTGAGATCACACTTACAATGCCATTCTACTAATCCCATTTCCCAGTTGTATTTTTTGTCCAGGTGGCACAATACACTTTATCACCACCAGGAACCATGATATATGCCTCTTTTCTAATGTCTAGAAAGTCACTTGTTAAAGCAAGAAGTGGAATGGGTTCTGTCTTTATTTGGGTCTTATCTCATTTTGCACAAAGCTTCATGCTTTTAATTATTCTCTCTGAAAAGTTATTGTAAAAATCTGGCATATAATTGAACCTGTCAATGTCCTGACAATTGCCCAGATCATTCTTTGTTCTCTCTCTTAAATACATCTGTCTTTGCTATCCGTTCTGTCCATGACACTGCAGAGAGGGCAGCATTGAGCCAGTCTTCCCCAGAAGAAGTTGCATGCGTCAGACAGGCCTGTCTTCCCTGGCTCTAGGAGGCAATGGGAACCTTGTAGTGGAGAGCAGTAGGACTGTGTCTTCCATGGCAGGGAGAAGCCCCAAATTGTGCCAATCCATGTCCCTCCAACATCTAACACTGCCCCTTTCTTCTCTTTCAGGCGCGTCTGCCAGCTTCCTTCCCAGCACTGGAACGGATAGTTGCAGTCACTGTGCCAAAGGAGATGGAAGAGAACCAGAAAGAGACAAACCAGCAGACTGAGTGCTGATTGGAACAGGGACACCAGCCCTGGTCTGCATGGGAGGATGAAGCTCTGTGTGCTGTGCTGAAGAAGAATGGGCATATGCAGACCTCTGAGGAGGGTCTAGGGACTGCATGAGCATTTCAGGAGGCCATGGGAGCTCTGCACCAGCAGAAGGGCTGGGAATTGCATACCAAAACAAGATGAAAGCCACCGCTGCAATAAGGGAGCAGGTAGCACAGATGCTTTGGAGCTGTTGGAAGTGTTTGAGCCAGCAGCCATCGCCTACTTCAGTTTCACTTCTCTCTCCTAGCTCTTGCCCCTCCTTACTGCCCTCTCAGCCTTTCTCTGCTGGGCACTCAAATGCAGGAGGCAGCCAGAGCCCAGATCCCTGACAACCAGCTGGTGTTTTCTCCCCATGCCCAGTTTCTCCTCCCACTCCCTTCACTGCCCTGCCCCTGCACTCATTCAGTGGCAGAGGGGATCCTACGGAGGACTGCACATATAACACATTTTAAGCTTTTTTATTTTATTAGAAATCATTTGAGAATGTAAAATAAATGTCCATCAAAAAAACTCCGGTCCCTTTGTGTGTTTGTAGAGGATGCCTCCTGATGGTGCTGGGAGTATCTCAGTCTGCATGAAGCAGCTTCTAAGGATTTTGCTGCCTTTCTCTTTCAGTTCGGCTTTGCTGAAGGTGACTGTTAATTTCTGAAATTTTGATGGTGGGAAAGGGGAAATTAAATGCCACTAGAGAAGAAAGAATTGCAGATTCAGCCTCTTGTTTTTGCTGTGATTCAGTGTCTTTTGGTATTATTTTTTTTTTTCTGGCTGGCTCTTCCTGTTTATAGATTTATTTATTCCTTTTCTTATTTCTTAGATTTTCCTGATAGATCTCTCATTGATGCTGGGACTTTCTAACACTCTCTTCAGGCTCGTGATGTACTTACTAAGTGTAGGAGTGAGTCCACCAAGTCCCATTTCCCACAATCCTTAATATGTTTAGTTTACACCTAATTAGAGAATTTTTCTCACCTCCTCTCCAAATGGCCATGGAAGAGGACTGCGGTATTGCTTGAACAGTCATTGTATACCACTCCAGAGGAAAGGCTTGCTATTAAAGAGTTTCACATACAGCTTCTCCCACATGGGTTACCGGGATGTGGCTGCTCTAGCAAGGAGGCACTGGCACAAAACTTAAGCTCTGAGCATTTATGAAGGAAGATTTTCTTGCCTTGTTTAGAGGACTTCACTACCAGGCCAGGTTTTCATTACTTCTGCAGGCAACTGAGGAAGCCTTCTCATTGTGTGGCCCTTGCCTGCCCCAGGAGCTTCACACACACAGGTTGAGAAAGGCCCAGTTAACTCACTCTGAGGAGCACATCCAGGCTCCACAGCTCTTTAGCTACTCAGCTAGTCATGTGTTTTATTGAAAATGATACCCATTTATCCATAAGTCCTAGAGAAAAAAGCAGAGATGTGAGTTAGACTTGTGTGTTTCAAGTGCACCACACTGTTCCTTCTCTCTTCTCATACATAGCAGGATGCTTTCTCCTCCTGTAGCTGACACTGCCTCTTACTAGCCTGGATGTTCTCATCACTCAGATGTGTACCTGGACCCTCTTTAAATCTCACTGTTTCCCTGTGTTTTCTGACTTCCTCTGGCAATGAGTGGCAGCAAGTCCTAGCTCATGAATGGTGAAAATTTAAGTTCTTCTTCGCCAGGAAAAAAGTTCCTCATTATCAGTTTTGAATTAAAAGTTTTGCTCTTGCATCATCTGTTTTCTTTTCTCATACCACGAAGACTGGAAGAAGAGGGACTCGCAGTCTCTTGGCTGGTCATTCACCTATAGCTTCTTATCGCATCTCCTTTTTTTCTATTTTCCCATTCCCCTCTGTCAGGGATTTATCAAAGGATACGTATGTGGAACATGCATGGACTAGTCTCAAAAACACGTAAGCAACCCAGGCTCTGCAGGTAAGGAAGGGGCTGTGCTTAGTGGGCCTCACTGAAGGCTGGAGCCAGCTTACATAACCCCGATCCTCCAACAAAGCATGAGTAAGGACAAGGTCAAATAAAGGTCCAGCACCCTACAGGGTTTTCCACCCAGTTAACCACCTGAGACCCTCCCAGGAATGCTCCCTATTCATTTTGGGAAAGCTCTTTGACCTAAGTACTGCATGCATGAGCAATGGCACCACACCTTAAGAACCCGCAGCTACTGGCTCTATAAAAGCACCCACTGAGAGAGGCCCCAGGTCAACCTTCCATCCTTAGACAAAAGACTCCATCACTGGATCCTCCAGTGGCGAATATACATATCTATTTACCTATCTTCTCTTTTTTCCTTTTATTTTCCTATCTATCTTTCTCTCCTTTATCTGAGTATAGTTAGTACCACTTAGATGCACCAAGCCTTGTCATTAGGTGTGACTTCTGCTGTTACTGAATTTGTCTGGTTTTGCTATTTCACATGGTTTTATTGTTGCCTTGAAAAGCTCAGATTTGGGACGTTTCTGTCTGACACTTTGCTCAGGCCTATCTCAGTGTTGCGAGCTCTCTTTGGGTCCGTTGTTCTGGAGGGAGCAGCAGTCCAGTGGGGGAGCAGTGCTGCTTTATATGGAAGCACACTGCCAGTCTCTGAACCACTTCTACCCTATTCTTCATGACATTTTGTGTGCCCCTTTGACTGTAGTTTCCCACTGAACAGAGCCAAGCTTTTACTGAGCTGTTCACTGTGTCCTCAGTGAAACCTCTGCCATGATCCCCAGGCTCTTTCCTGCCCTGGTATGGTTACAGGAAGCCAAAGCTAAGATGTGTTTATGCAGTTTATATTTTCCCTTCGGCTACGTGACTTTGGCAACAGTGGTGCTGAATTTCATTGGCCTTCCTGATACTGATGAGCACAGTTTTCTTAGATGTCTCCAAAGTCCTTGTCATTCTCAAGTTTCCTGATACATTTAAATAAGTTCATGTTATGTGTACACTGGGCCTTTTTCTGCTTACCCCCTAGAACACTAGTAACTCATGCTTTAATTTTGATGGTGGTGGGCTCCCTGTTGCCTTTAACAACTAGCAGCTTGGTTCCACTCCTCACTTCTCAGCCCTGAGCTGGCTCTGGGCACACAGCAAGGCTTCCTTGCTTGCCCCTGTGCAGGGTCAGCTCATTGCCCTGGGTAACCCTGGAGCTCCATGGAGGAAAGAAAAAGTTGAGAACTCTTTGAAGATGCACAACTCAAGCCAAGCATGGATTTTCTACAGTAACTCAATTACTCATGAATCCTCACCAAGAACTGATTGCTGAAGCCAGTGGTGATCAGATGTAAAATTATGTACAATTGTCTGTACATACACACAATCATATGCAGTCACACTTTGAGCATGAGATACCCCCCACAATCATTGTATTACTTGTAGCATGTCTTGCAAATATATTCTTTGTTGTAGAGAGGACAAATGGTAGCTGAGGTGTTTGATTAGTGCTTATTAAAGTTACACCATCTACAAAGGCTGTGAGGCCACAGGCATGGTTGTATTTTTGCCAAATACAAATTCTGCCAATGCTAAGGTGCCAAGAATGGTATCAGAAACAGATGCTGCAGTCTTGCATTTGTAATTAGTCAAGCACTTTGTGCAGGTGAGCATTACTAACAAAATAGAGGCACAAGCAAAAGTGACAGATGTGGCCACTGAACTGTTTTGGTTGACAGATCTTAAGGAAAAATGCTCCAAAGCCAACTGATACCAATATAGAAATAACTGTCCATGGCCAAGAGAAACTTTACCACTCAAGAACGGATTGGTGCAACTCTAGGAAGTAGGAAAATATGCCTGAGCACTGAGGGAATCAAGCTAGTACATAGCAAATCAGTACAGATGAAGTAGAAGTATTAAGTCTATATAATAAAGCAAACACATCTAGAAATCTGTCCCAAGTGGAGTCAATGCAGTAGCAGAAAGTTGAGCAAATGCCATGTTAAGGAAGAGACATGACAATTTTCCACAAGGATACAGCTACTGGTGTAAAAGTCAGAAAAATATTTGTAATCTATTAGAAGTAGAAAGCTTCAGAAAAATGCAGGAAATCCGATGGATTCCCTTAGGGCAGAGGGGTGCAGTTAAAGAAGACAAAGGAAGTACTATGTATGCAAATGTTTTATTTGCATCTGAGTCCTCCAAAGGGAATTATATTTGCTGAAAAGAAAGTGCTATCCGAGAAAAAATCAATAGCAACAAAAAAGGAACACTGACAACAAAAATTCTAGGACCTACATTCAGATTTCTAAGAGATTTCAAGTGAGAGGCTAAACAATTGCTAGGAAATAGCATGATCTGACAAAGAAACAACAGAAAACAACAAGTCTATACCAAGTTATGTTGGTATATTTTGCACAGCCTTTAATAATACAAAGCTAGCATCCATGACACTAAAGCACACTGAGTTTTGTATCTGCTTGGCAAATTGAGAGGAACAATATCAGCAACAATTCTGCAGAAGAAATCCACTACTCTGTCTCACTACTCTGCTTGGATTCCTTCAACACTTCCATGCAGTAGTGGATAAAGTCAAAACATCTGGGGTCATTCATTTTGTCTTCCAAGGTTCCCTCAAACCAAGCTACCTACAGGAACACCATCACTGTAAGCACTATACCTTGTGCCACACACTAAGATCCAAGGCATATGGGACGATCATTATGTGGTTGTTAACATTATCACATTGCAGAGCTTCTGCTCCTAGATATATGTCTTGCTGACGTGCTGATTCAATACAAGACATCTCTCAAAAGCTGTCATATGATGCAGTCTGAAATGGCCATCCCTCCCACCTGAAAAGATGGGTTTCTAAGGGTCTTACAGTAGGAGGGCATAGCACACTGTACCTATAAAAAACATGTGATACACAAGAGTAGCTCTTGGAAGGGCTTGTTATTTGTCATTATTGAGATTTTTCATGTTCACCTTCTTTTATGAACAATGCGCATCTTATAATCTTATCACCAGAGCAGCATCTCCTTTCGTTCCATGAAAGGCAGTCCAGATCTCCTCACCAACGTGGAGGTTCCTAGCAGAACCCCCCTCTAGCTCTGCTGAGCACCAGCCGGCTGGCCAGGACCCTTCTGCCCAGCATTCTGAAGCCCTTGGACATTTCATACCAAACTGAGTGGAGTGCTCGCTGCTCCCACAAGAACTCTCCAAGGGAAGGAGACCCCAGAGTCCCACCACTCGGCCTTCAAACGCATGTGTGGGGCCGTATAGCCCCACAGATCCAAAGCCAGCCGGCGCCAGCAGCCTGGTAGCTTTGCATCTCTATCACCTGCGCTCCAGAATCGTCGGGGACCGTGGGATGGATGCAGCTGCTCCCGTGGCCCGGGTTTGTGCTGCCATCTAGTGCCCAGGCACGGAGGAGTTCCCCCCTTCCTGTACCGGGCTTGCATTATCGGGTACGTCCATCATTGGTTGGATCGTTTTGCGCTATCACATCAGCTACCTAGTGACTGGTTAATAAACACAGTTCCTTTGCTGAGGAACTGAAAGCAAAAACTCTCATAGTTACTGCTCAAAAGCGTCACTTTACAGCTTATGTAATTGAATTGCACCCCACTTCAATACTATGAGATGCTTTCATTATGCACCAGACCCCCCTTCGTACTGATTAGAACCCTCCAGTTGTGTATCACAAGTCACCAGTTTCTCTCTTGTTCTTTTTCCCAAGTCCATTGATGAACACAGTAAACAAGATCATCCCCATGCATTTTCTTAAAAGCTCTCACAGCCAGCTCTCTCCTGCCCATTGCATTTCTGGCATGTCAAAACAGTAGCTTGTTTATGTCTAGGCTCACTATAGTCTTTCTCATTTTCAGTGACACAAACAGTTGACAATAGTCCCTCTGTTCCTCAGCACTACCAAGCCATCTCTGACATCCCAGAGCATCTGGCTATTCTTTCTCCATCGTATTTGACACCCCTCACATGACCTCTTACTCATGAAGATCTACTCTGGAGATCTTCTGATTTTTCACTGTGATCAGTACATCAACCTTTGTACTATCTGTTTGGAGAGTTCTCTTTTCCTGGCTTAAGCTTCCTCAGAGATACTCCAAGTGCTTGCTGACAGAGATCTCCCCCAGCACCATCCAGGAGCCTTGCTTCTTTCTGAGTGTATAGTTTTATTGGGGCAAACCACCAAGCCTCCCCTCCAGAGGGCTGCTTGTTGTTCTTAGTTCTCCATGTCTGGATGCAGAAAAGTCCCTCAAGGAGCTCAACAGGTGGAAGATATTCTACTGCAAAGAGAAAGCTCCCTGTCTTTCAAGCCGCTGACATTCAATACAGTTTTCACACCATGTTTAACACTTTCCCTTCCCTTGCTCCAGTCACTGAGCACTCATCAATTTTGCAGCACATCTGGGTATCCCTTACCCAGCAGAGCTCCCAGGCACACTGAGCCCTCCCCAGTGTGCAGGGAACTTGGCTTGTATGGAGACTCTCTGGAGGTTTCTTGACTTTCCACTGCCATCAGTAAACGGTCCTTCTCAATGTCTGATATCTGAAATCCCTTTTCCCCATTTTCACACATTCTTGGAGAGATTTTAATGTGCCTGCAGACTGGAACCTCCACTCAGTGTAATCCGGAAGATGCCCCTCTCTGGTAACATTGGCAAGAATCTGCTACACACCAACTCTAACTTGGAAAAATATTGCATGTGGTGGGATTAGAGCACAGAGTGCCAGGCAGGGTGTATGGGGACTGTTTCCGAAGAGGAAAAAACAGGACAAATGAGAGCCACAGATCTGGTTAGGGGGAACCAGTGTATAGCAATAAAGCTCTACTTCCCACTCTGCCACCAGATTGGTGTGTGGTACTGAATAAGTTTCCCTGCAGATGCAGTGTAGCAACTGTCCCAGCAAGGTGAGATCCAAGCTTGCATGGAATTGAAAAACTAGTTAAATATTTATGAGAAATATTACAGTTAAAAGAAAGACTGCCTGACTAATACTATTCATCTCTCCTGGATTCTGATGTTTAATTAATGCTTGCAAAGTGCTTTGAGATGCTTGGATGAAAGTGATACAAACACGTCACTGCATGCTGTGACCCCTAATCCTAGAGGTACTTACAAGATAGACAGAGGCTGTACACTGTGCCAGTGTGGCAGCTCTGAGCAATCCCTGCACTAAGCACAGGGGGCCAGGCCTGCAGCTTTGTCACCTCAGACCCAACAGCCCTGTTTCTCCTTGCAAATCTGCAGCAAATCCAAATATGTTTTGGAAGCTGGGCCCATTCAGGGAATGATATTGCTGGTTGGCATTTGCAGTGACATAAACCAACTGTTCAAAAACGAGCCAGGGTTTCTGCATTACAGCATGTAGGGAAACAAAATGCAAGCCAGAATCCGTGTGAGCTGCAGCAACAACTCAGTGCCTCAGAGCACCTCTTCCTAAGCCCTCATGCCAGAGCCTTACAGTCACAACCTGACTTTTCTCAGCTGTTTTCTTCAGGACAGCCCTTCTCTGACAGATAGGTCAGAAGGGGCATGTGTGTTCTCAGGCATGCAAGGGCATATGGGAGAAGCTGATGCAAAGCAGCAGGCTCTTGAAGGAAATCCCTGCCTGAGAATGGGTCTCCAAGAAGTTCTGGGCATTGTGATTTCTCCAAAGAGACATCAAAAGGACCAGCTGTTGAACTTGAGGCCAGATCAGTGCCACTCCTTTCACATCTAGTGGCACTTTATGAACCTCAGAGTTGTGTTTTTCTGAACCTGCTCCTTGAAAGCCTGATTCTGTATCTCTCAACCCATCCTCCAGACAAAGGGGCAAGTGACTGCTTGGAGGAGAAGAGTGGGTGGTACGGAGATGAAATCTCAGCTGTGTCTGGGGCTCAGTGGGTTTCCGCCACCTTGGCTGAGGCTGGGATTCAGAAAGAAAGATACTGAATGTGGGTGGAAAACCACAAAAGCCCCCTCCTCCACTCTACAGAGAGGGGAAACAGCTGAGATGTGGTAATGGTAGAGGTTACCTGAGAGAATAAAGATGAAGAAAATATTCTCATCTCACACCAAATCTCAGTCATACTCTGCACAGGTGACCTTCACTGCTTCCAAGGCTTCGCCCTTAACTGTGCCCTAATTGTGGTCATTTCTAAACTGCTGGGCCTGATTGTCAAGGCTAAGAGGCACAGCTCTGGGTGCAAGGCCACAGCCCACTCTTCAGAGGTGGCTCCTCTTAGCAGCAAGACAGGATGGACAATGAAGGGCAGCTTGCCCTTACAGCTTGTTAGAGGCCTGGGTGTAGCCTGGATCTGCTCAGCTAACACGTTAATTTGCAATCATTCTTTGACAGAAGATCATAACAGGTTTCCAATCGCTCGCTTTTAAGTTTCGGTTCTGTTACAGCCTCCCAGCAGCTGCCAAATGGCCAATAGGCTCTCTCTCACACTCATTTTTCCCAGGCGTCGCAATATATAGCTTTCCATTATGGTCTTCATTTCTCTGCACATCCAGCACTGAGATCATATGCATTTGGAAGATCACCATCTACTGAGAGAAGCTCACAGATTGCAGCAGAGCCTGGACCAGCAGCAAGATCGTGCTGAGGTTCCGGTTGGAGAGGAGGAGACACAAAGGCCAACCGACATCTGTTGAGCAGCTTTCTAACATCAGCTTCATTCTTCTCTTCCTTCAGTTATAGCTGCGTTAGATCACTTACAGCAGGTGACAAACACAAGGAGACAGAAACGCAGAGGGAGGAAAAGAGGTAAGGAAACTTTCTTTCTGTCTTTCTCTGAAAAAAGAGGTCAATCTGTTGTTTTTTTTTTTAGATCTTGTCACAAACTTTACGATTTCATACAAGTTGCTGTTTTGGACAGGATGAGGGACAGATAGGTTTTGCCCTACTTAAAATCATGATGCAAAACTTCATTGAAATGTTTTACTTGATAATACTTCTGGCTGTGCGGTTTTTTGAGGCCTTTTATTTTTAACTAAAAAGTGTTATCCTGTGTGGATTTTTCCTTGGAAAGGGGAAAAAGAGAGCTACTAAAAGATCCTGGGGATCCCACAGATCTCTTAAACCCATATGTAGTGATAGTTCAGAAAAAAGTCCTACAGGACTTGACAACAACCACTATATTTCCCCAGGGGTTGGAAATGCACTGAGAGCAGCCTTCCACCATCAGCTGCCACTTGCTATCACCTTCTCCATATGCCCTCCAGGAAGGGGAACTTTATTCTAAAAAAAGCCTGAAAAATAAAAAGATGCCAATCTCCAGCTAACTAGGAGAGCCCATTTAAATGTATGTGTACCATGATCGGTGAGCCTGCTCTAACTATGTCGGCTGACTGACTCACTGCGCAACGCAGGCTGCAAATGCAGCCTGATCCACTAGCTCAGGGCTGGGTAAGCAGGATTTTGTGCAGCAAGAAATCAGTTTAAGGACATCTGAAAACCTTAGCCTTGTCACAGACTGCTGCACTGTTAAAACCTACAGTTTCATTTCTGGGTGAATTTTTCATCTTTCAGATGATGAATTCTGTTCAACCTTTGTCAGTCACCCCAAGTGTTCCCTATCTGGTACATTAAGGTTGAGCTCAGGTTACTTCTTAATGTTAACCACTATAAAATAAGCACTCTTGCTAAGTCCCTTGTGTGTGTTGTTCTCAGTTCAATTCACAAACCTTTTCTTTATCCTCCCCCATGTTTCACAAAGATGGCTGCCCAAGCTGCCTGTGATAGAGCAGGACTTGACTCATTTTAATGGCGCAAAACCACTATCCCATTCGTACTCAGTGCTCTTGGACAGTGCCCATCCTTTCTGCCACATTCTTGTGCAGGGACCGTCTATTCAATGAGGAAAAATTATGGAGTGACTTCTGTCATTCCAGCCATAAGGTTAACGTTTTTGTTCTGAGTGGACTGGAACGTACAGTTTTGCTGCACTATGTTATCCATACTTATATAGGCCCTTTTCCAGTGTGGACTGCAAATCAAGAACATTTCATGTAAGATCTCAGTGTTCCTATTTCAGCAGCTGATTAATGATGCCTGAAGCACATCCTATGTGCACATGGCTTGAGAGCACAATGAAGGGCCTGTCGTCAGAGGACATCTTGGTACTGTTCGCTAGTCACAGCCTCCTAGAAAGGCATCCAGGGGCTTCAATTGTGAACTGCTGGGATGAAGGATTGTTTGCAGAGACAAAAATGGGAGGCCTAGAAGGAAAGAAGAGGGGCTAGTTAGAAGGGAAAAGCTTAGAAGTGTATGCTGAAATACTTGTCGTGCACAGAAAGTTCTTGGCTTCCCCCTAAATGGTTGAAATGGTTCAGAAGCCATCAGGGAACTGTCTGGGCTGCAGAGATAGAGTCATTTCTGGTGGTCTTCATGAAGGTCCAGATACGCAAACAGATAGCAAAGACTTTGTGGCAGAAGGAAACTTGTTTCATGCCCACATGGCACTCTGCTCCATCTTGGAGATGGAACCTCTCTCTGAGAGGCTGATGGCTGACCTTGCTCCATCATGTCCTTCTGGGAGCAGCTGTTGAGGGTGAAAACTTATTTCAGGAGCTGGTGAACAGCCAGAGTGCTTGAGGGGAAATCAAGGCACAGACTGTGCTGCATGACAACTAAGCTTGTTCATGCTCTGGGGTGACCGTAAAGCCTATAAAATGACCTCCACTTCTATCATCTCTTTGCTTTCACTGTCTGTTTTTATTGCATTTGGTCTCTTGCCCTGTCTACTCCTCACTCATGCTTGCTTGTTAATGAACATTTTCAAGAGAACTGCTGCAGAGTAGAGTAGATCAGCTTTGCTTAAGACACTTAAACTAAGGAGTGATGCGATCCCTAACAAACAACTGCACTCTAGAGCTTAAAATACACACCAGACCAGTGTGCAGCACGGGGGGCAGCTGCATCCCTTGGCCCTTGCCCAGAAGCAGCCGCAGGGGAAATGGAGACAGCAGCCAAGGCTGAGGTGTGGCAGCCCTCATGGGAGCGGCCCAGGCCTCCCTGCCCAGGCCTTCCTGCCCTGTTCTCCTTGCCCCACCAAGCACACTGCTGCTGCTGTGAGATCAAAAGCACAGCCACAAGCAAGAGCGAGAGGAGAAAACAAGGAAACCACACGGCATGAAAGCAGTGCGTGAACGCAGTGAGATGGAAGATAGCCTACTCTGCAGGAGGAGTGGTTTCTGGGCTCTTTTTTTAATTTCAGTTTCCTCCTGTATCACGCTGCTGTCGGGCTGGAGGAGAGCTGCCTGCAGCCAACAACTCTGTGAGGCTCTCGGGAGCAGGTGCTTTCTGGGCCAGGCTTGGACCTTGTCCTTGGTCATCCCTCAGTGAGACCAGTTGCTGCCACAGCTCTCCTTTGCCCACCCCCCAGGGAGAGAACATTCATTAAAAGAAGTTAAGAAAGAAATTAAAGCAGTTTAGTAAAGAGGGGGAAGTTGAAATGAAATGGAAATCAATGTGCAGTTGGACGGCAGCCCTGCTCCTCCTGTGAAGACTAGGCGTGCTAATAAATCAAGTGTGCCCAGACTGTTCTGGCACTGAGGCTGACTGGCATGAGATGGTCCGGGCTATTAAACTCTCTTAATCTACAAAATGAACTGGCTATGTGACAGCTGCCTAATGGGAGTGGTCCCTGTCCCATCCTAACACTTAAACAGATCCTGGGAGTTGCTTGGCAGGAGAGTTGTCCTGGGCCAAAGAAATGTCAGGAAATGTTCTAGCAGTTTAACATTGCTGATGAGTGTGTCCCAGTTCCCAGGGATACTCCCTGACACCACTTAATTTTTGAGTACCACCACAAGATACGGCTGTAAGCCTGTAAGGAGGCTGTGGGTCTGCTACAGGCATTAGTGACAAGAACCACTTCCTACACTACATAGCAGTCTTACACAATGAGATCTGTAAACTTCTGAATACCATTGCCATTCTGATCTGGAGAGTCACAGGAGGCTGAAGGACAGAGGAAAAATAATAAGTGGTATGAATGAAAAGCAGAAAGGAGACAGAAAGTGTATGAAAGAAACTCTAGCTGGAAGCAACCTGTTTTCCCCAATGACTCGTAACATGTAGGTGGTCATCGTCACGATACAGAGATCTGCCACAGACATAAGATCAGTATGAATGAAAAAGGGATGGAGAGATATATGCATGAAACCACAAGAAGAAACAGCAAAACAGTGTATGAAAGGTGCATCAACCTGCAGCTACCAAACTCCACAAGGTCAGCAGTTCACTGGTACCACGACATTTTAGTTGTGCGGTTTTGTTCTCCAGCTAGATAACAAGAAGGTAAAGAACAAACTGAAACAGGAAACAGGAAGATAGATTCACAGACAGTAAAAAATGATGGTGTGCGATGGCAATTTTGCTGATTTATATCTATTCTATCACCTCCAATATTATTATAAAGTTTAATGATTCAAAATATTTGAAGCCCAGCATTGAGCTTGTTCACTTGTAGACATCACTGCAGGGTGGTGGCTGACTTTTCCTGCTGGTCTCACTTGGATAGGTGATGCGACTATTCATGGCAGAGCTTACGTTTCTTCCATCATCTCAGGGTGATATTGATCTTTCCCAGGGTCCTGTGCCAGGACTCAGCTATAGATGTTTCTTCTGAGTGAGACGCATACAAATTCCTTGTTGTTGCCCCTTTCCTTATTCTGTAGCATAGCTCAACGAACTGCTTGATTACTGCCACTGCATCCGGTGGAAATTATGTCCAATTGCGTGCACTGGCCCTTTGCATTTTTTTTCCCACACAAAATGGCTCATGCAAATATTTCCTGGGGCCAGCATGATTTTTTTGTTTGCTTTGTAAAAGGCAAGCTGCAGATCGTCTCTGACTATGTCTTTGTCATGTATTTCTCTTCTGATGGTGCACAAGGCTACTGTGTTGCTCTTGCACCTGCATTTTTCATGTGTGTTCATCTGCTCAGCTGTCAGATTTTCAGCCATGCTGACCTGACCTACATGTAAACATAACACCGATGTTTTAATCTACTCTTTGATTGTCTCATGAGCTCTGATCATTTACATCAATTTCAATATTAAAGTATCCTCTCTGGAATACTGCGCATACTACATATGTACTATTAAGTTATTATTGTATTCCTTTTGATTTCAGTCCCATTATGATTCCAGCCTTCACTCTACCATGCTAATTGTGAAAGAATGTATCTGCTATCATTTAGACCTGAGTAACCTTCCCATCAGTCATTCTACTTCTCTAAACACTGCTGTGATTTTTTGTTGTTGTTGTTGCTATGGGTCCAGATCACTGCTCCACACACCCCCTCATCCACGTATCATCCCTGCTTCTGATACCTGATTTTCTCCTTTGGTAGCAGCCAGAGTGTTTTCTCATACTCCATTAAAAAAGGACTTGGTTTGTTCACATTGCTCCCCATTGTTTGTCCCTTGAGCTTTATTGGCTTCTGTCTGACCCTTCACTTGAGAACATGGAGTTCTTACTTTTCAGAGACTGCAGACCAAAAAGTATGCTCATCTGTATCGATTGGATTTTCCCCAGTCTTTGTTTAAGAAAGTTCTTCCTTTAAGTGTCAGCAGACAAGTTCTGTTTCAGTTTAAATGAAGCCTCCTATTTTAAATGAAGCCTGTGCTTTCTGTACAACCCCCTGGTCATCCCACAGATTCAAAGTTCTTGATGACCCCATGCTACCTTTCTTTATACCACTTTCTCTGTCAGAAACTCTAGCACTCTTTCTGGCTCTACGCTTGCATCTAGAAGCATCTTCAGATTTGCCCTTCCCACCTTACAAGCTAAGTTTGCTTGTAAAATCTTTTCTGACCTGTCTCTACGCTGTCAGCTTTCACAGAGTACCCTTCAGCTACCCTGCACAGGCTTGACATCCTCCAGAAGTGCTCTGGAGGTCTCTGCTTGTAGAACCATGGATGCCATGGACAAATTCTTCCAGAACTTTCCATTTCAGGTTTTTTATCATCGATGCAACTTCTTTCTAACCTCATTCTTCCTTTCACCCCAGCCTTCTTGTAGAATATCCCTAAGAATTGAAGCAAGCCTTTAAAAAAACATCAGAAGCATCAAAACTTTTAAGATAAGAAACACGTAGACAATAACAACAACAAAACCACTTAAGAAAAATGCTACGAAGAGCCCTAAAAGATGGTTTCTATCATGCAATCATAAAATCACACAAAAAGACTTAGATGGGAGGGGATCTCTGGATTTCTCCATTCCAACCTCCTGGTTACAGTTTGCGGGTGATTCTAAAACTACATCAACCATTATTAACAGAGCATTTGGGTCTTCCAGGTTAGCATCCCTTGGTACCAACAGCATTCCCAGCCCTTCAGTTTGCAGCAGGGAAGAGCATTCCCTAAGAAATGGAGAGATGTGGAGCAGTGATGAGCAGTGTGCTTGCGGTCGTCTTGGTTCTGCAGCTGGGTGAGTCCTCATCTGCATTGGAAAAGCAGCAGTAAAACCTTGCTAATCCTTGCAACCTTGCCAAAAGCCTCACAGTATTTTAGGTGTTTCTAGGCTCCTCATAATTTATCATCTGAAATATTGCTTTCTTCTTTTTTTTTAATTATTATCTTTTAATAATTGTTGCCACCTCCTATTGCTAAGGGTGAATCTGTAGGCAGACATGAGATAGGAGGGCATGGTTCACCTCCCCTGAGACCACTGAGATACTTCTGCAGGAGTTTGCTCAGAGAGCAGCCTAACATGCTTTTTGAGAAGTCTTGTTCATGCCTTTCTCCCCAGACAATACAGATACAGCAGTCACCTTCTTACCTCTTGTCTGGCCCACTCTGCAACTGTCCAGCAGTGGTGATACGGCTCTGACAGCATTGCCATAGAAAAAGACCATCAGCTGAGGAAGACTTTGTGCCACACAGCATTAGGGTTCACAAAAGCTGGATGAACGTGAATAAATGCTTCAGAAGGAACTTGTGCTCTGGGCAGAGCTGTTTCCCAGGCCAAACCCAGCCCAGATGCCATATACTGAGCACAGGGTGGGAAATACTACATTGCCTCCTGCTGCTTGGGTGAAAACTTGTGAATTTCTGATCATAGGTTTGCCATTACAGATTTGATGTTAGCAGCTTGTTCAGTTTGATTGCTACTGTTACAACAATTGGTAGACATTTTAGTGATTTTTTTACAAGAATGGAAAGTGACTGAATAATGCCAAATCTGCATTTCTCAAGCACTCAGCTTTGATTATTCCAATTGCAAAAAAAAAAATTATGAAAATATTGTATGCAAGCTATAACTAAAAGCATTGCAAAAGACACCAAGATATTCTTATGAATGGCATTCATAATTTCCCCATTTTAGACTGATTCATCATTTTCAGTGATCATGTTCAGTGCAATTATTGGAAAACCTCTATTATCAATGCTGCAGATTACCAGTGCTCTTGGAGGAAAACATAACTTGTGGAAACCTCTCCCATAAACTCATACAAACTTTTCATTTTACACCTCTAGGGTGCTCCTGTAGTAGGACAAATGAAAGCTTTGCAGTTCTATGCAGCTGAAGCAGTTCTGAGACATTTTCCTTTCCTTTCCTTTCCTTTCCTTTCCTTTCCTTTCCTTTCCTTTCCTTTCCTTTCCTTTCCTTTCCTTTCCTTTCCTTTCCTTTCCTTTCCTTCCCCTCGCCTCCTCTTTCCTCCCCTTCTCCTTCTCCCCTTTCTCCTTTCTCCTTTTCATATCCTTTATCCTTTTGTTTTCCTGAGCTTTCAGTCTTGCTTTGTGTAAAATTTGGAGGAAGAGGTAACCAAATTTGACAGTGCTGCCTCAAGTCTTGACCAAGGAGTGAATGAGGAACGACACATGTAGTCCCGCCTTCCTTACCAGCAGGACAACAGAATCTCGTTCAGTGGGGAAAATGTTGTTTCAACAAAACTGCTTATATCTCAAAATTGTGAGTGTTGGGAAATCCACCATAACCACAGGTATTTGGGGGCATTTGACTTCTAGGTCTGACCCCCATTATGGCTCAGCAAGAACAACAGACTGGGGTTGCAGGAAAGGAGGTGATCCTGAGCTGTAAGGACATAAACTATCAGAAAGACATGAACTGTAATTGGAAGTACAAGTATAAGGAAGCTTATTCTACAATTATAAGCTTTTCTAAAACAAAGATTTTTAAAGGTAAGGGTTCCAATTTCACACCCCTTCTCCTCACTTTATAGCTGAGAAATTTCTTCCCTCCTAAACAAGCTTATTTTTTCAAAAGGCAAAGCCCCAATGACTCATCGATCTGAAATGAAGTCGGACAGCAAACAGCTGAAGGTGTCAGACTTGAACCTGGACGACGCAGGCATCTATACCTGTTCATGTCACTCTCCTGAAGTCAGTATCTCATTGCATGTCCTTAAATGTGAGTGCCTGGAGGGTTTGTAATCACAGGGAGGTGAGGGGAGAGGAGAAAAGGTCCAAGAAACATCTCTGATGGAATTCCTTATCCATGATGCCATTGCTTCACAGCTCATTTCCTCTTTCACTTGCAGAAAGAGGAGTTGATTTACTGTTTTTTTTCTCTTTCCAGTGACAGTCTCTTCAAACGGGCACTTCCTCGCAAATGAAGACCTTCAGCTTACTTTAATGCAAAATTCATCCCACTCACAACCCCATCTCAGCATCGAATTGTTTCATATTAGCAATAAGATAGTGACAACAGAAATTTTGCAAAATGAGGCTCCTCAAAAATACATACTGAAGCTAAAGCAACTGAAGGCTACAGACAGTGGAACCTGGATGTGCCACGTTTATTCAAACTCTCCATTGATTAATCAGAACATCTCCTTTGATGTGAAGGTATTAGGTACGTGACAACAAAAATGCAGCTTGCATACAGACTTTGGAACCAGTGCTTTCTCCACCTTATGAACCATGATTTCATTTTCCACCATTCACACAATGGTCCAGGGCTAATTTCCCTGGGCCTCCAGCCCTGCAGCTGGATTGCTCTGCTGCCTGAGCTCTGTCTCACACTTCTTCCCATTTTCTTCTCCAGGCTGACCCCAAAAGATCACCCTCTCCTTGGGGTCTCTTCTTTTCAGCTCTGGTGAGCTTGAGAGTTTTGCCTCTTTAAACCAATTCTCAGTCTCTAACTGCTTATCCCCCCCTGGGACATCTTGTGGCTTTTCTCTGAGGCCTCTCAGCTGAGCACAAGACCAAAGGTACACTCAGAGAAGCCACAGATTTCCCTCCTTATGTATTCTTTATCTTCTGAATTCAGGTTTTGAGGACGAACGCTTGGAAATAATGTACACTACTGTTGGCAACACTGTGATCTTGTCATGGCATCTGAACTTCAAGAAGATAGAGTGGAAAGAAGGTTTCATAGGAAAACTGAATTGGGAACCACAGGGAAATGCAGCCATTCATGAGCTGTTTGCTTTCAATGTCACAACACGTCGAGAGATGCATAAAATTAAAAAAAGCAACCACATTTGGTTTGAGATACTTGAAACGAAACCTGATAATACTATAAAAGTTAAAATCCCCAAGGTCCAGTTAAATCACTCTGGGCAGTATCAGTGTCAGCTGGAGATCAACAGTAGAAGAATTTGGAGCATGAGAGCGCTAGTGGTGATGCAAGGTGAGAGAAAGGGATCAGTAAATGAGGAGCTGCAGAAATCTGGATGCCACAAGAGTATGGATGGACCCATCTTCCCATCCTCTCACTCATGACATTTTCTTATCTTCCCAGTCTCTGCTAACCCTGCTGGGCCACTCTCCAGAGGGGGCAAGATGACCCTGCTCTGCCAGGTGTCTGGTCCCCTGCCATCCAATGCCCACTTGCTCTGGGAACGTGTGAATGGGACTGAGATGGAAATCAAAAAGTCAAAACAGCATGAAGCAAAAGTGGAGGTGGACGTCAGTGCTCCAGGATTGTGGAACTGTCACCTCATGGAAAACAATAACAGAAAGATCAGTCTTAATTATACTGTGGGTATGGAAATTAACATCACATCCCTACCTCCACACAAAAGCCTTGAAATTCTCTATCTGCCTTTGAATACTTTTCTCTTTCCACAGAGGAAGCTCATGTTTGGAATAGCTATGCAGTAATTGGAGCAATTATTGGAGCCAGTGTGTTGGTGATTGGCCTTGCATGCGTGTGCATAATCACTGGTATGAGCTGGCAGCGGAGAAGGGTTAGTATCGCAGTGTCCATGAAAGGTGAAGAGGTGACAGTCTTCCCAGACCATAGGAGGAGCCTGGTTTTCTCTCTGTGAATGGGGCAGAATAGATAGTAGGTCAATCCTTACACTCCAGGCAAATGGTTAGAGATTGACAGTCTGCAGATAGTAGCTATGTCTGAATGTACTTCACTACCCCATCATAGGGAAGCATTTTAAGTGTAAATAAACAATTTAATTGTTATGTATCCCTTCTCTCTTGGTAGAAACGGGCAAAAAGGATGGCACAAGCAAAACAATACTTGCTGGAAAAGAAGACGTGTCAGTGTCAACGGTAAGTGGCAATGAGGACAGCTGGATTGAGCAAGTACTTTGCTTTCAAGATAGGGGAGCTGGATGGTTGAGTGGGAAGAAATGGAGCATGAGCCCACTTGGTGCCTACACGAAAACTGCATTTCAGCATTTTCAGCTATTGTTACGTTTCTGAGTTACGAGCCATATTTTATGAATTTCCTGTTATGCTCCAATCCCATGGTAGTTTTGTGCTTGCAAAATTCTAAGCAGAGGTTTCACTTGAATTACGTTGATGTTTAGACATGTTGGCCAAACTCAAGCAGGAGCTCCAGAGTCCTTTGATAGGATTCAGAGTCAACCTGAATTACAGATAGAGAGGTTGTGGATACTGAGGTGGAAGACACACAACCAGCTTCAAGAATGAAAAACAAATTTTAAAAATCCATTGTGTCATAATGTGACTCCAGTTCTGCTATCACAGTGCTGAACTGCAGTCTGTGAAAATCACCAATAACCTCCTAGAAGCCAGGAAAGACAACATTGTGAACCATCCCCTCTCCCAAAAGCACTGGGTGATACACCATCATGTTCTGGCTTATTTTAGGGAAGCAAGGACTTCTCAGCAGAACTTTCTCTTCCAAGGTCTTAAAGCTTATATGATATCAGGCCCCAGAAACAGTTGCAGAGGAACACTGACATTTACACTATCACTGGAAGTGGAGAGCCCACAGCAGTATAAATAACAACATGAAGTAGTTCAATAAATTGATGGATACAGAATTTGACTTCTGCTTGATTTTGACTGGTGACGGTGGCAAACTGTGATAAGTTTCACCAGTTTTTGTTACTGTTACTGAGGTTTCATTGAGTAAATATGGCAAATACTGCTTCATAGTTAGGATGTGTATATGTGGTGAAAAGCTGATTACCATAACATGTTGAAAAATTCACCTGATTTTCCCTGACTTTTTTTCAAGGTTAGAAAAAAATCCCCATAAGAAGGACAAGCCCATACAACGACATAAATGTACAGCTAGACAAATCTGTGCAATACAAGTGCTGATACAGTTGTTTTTTAACTCTCCTTATCAAGCAAGCATCTCAGTGTAACTGAAATATATACAGCCATGTGGATGCACAAGTTACCATTTGCCCCCATACTGCAGAAGGGAGCGTAGTCCTCACCTATGAGCTGTCTGGCTTCAAGGTATCATCTCAGTAATCCTGGTGCTAACATAATGTTTCTCTCTTGCAGCCGGATGTATAAGTAGCTATGCAGACTGAGGAACTCTCTGCCTGTACCTAAACAAACACCTGTCAGCCCATAGTTCTCTATGAACTCAGCTCCCTTTCTCCTGTTTTGATATAATTCTTTATGCCTTCATCATTCTCTCAGTGTAATGCCACGGAGGGTTGTTGTCTGGAGAGGAGCCAATGGACAAGACAAGAAAGATAAGAAACCCTTACAGGTTATTACTGAGCCCCAGCTCTATAATGAGAGACACTGAATAGAAGAGTAGATATATATATATAATGCTTGTATTTTGTTCATGCACTTAATTTTTCCTTCCTGTGGAACTGATTTTATATGCTTCTTTTATCTACTGGAGCTCCAATAAATTTCTTCAGATTTTTGTTTCTTTGCAAACTGGACTAATTTTTTTTCTGAGGCACTTTCTTCTGACTCAAATCTGCATTTCTGCCTTTCCCCCTAGGATGTAGATATTTTTCTCTTAATTTTCCTTAAGTCACCAGCCCTCTCTTCCTTTGAAACACATCTGCCTTCCTTCAGTAGCCCCACATAACCCTCAAGCCCCATACCACAGCTTGTCTTCATCTCACCTGCAACAAAACAGTGCACAAAGAATTAAGCAATGGCATAATTCAGGACTAATTTTGTCAGTAAAGCAGTTCAGGATACCCACAACTTGTGGAAAATAGAGCTTTAAGATGATGTGAATGTTGATGTAGGAGGTAGGCTTGGGAAAGGGGAGAAATTTCCTAAGAGAACAAAGGAGCCTTGGAATGTGTAAGCCAGCAGAGATCCTTATGAAAAAAACTCTCTTTGAAATGTCTCTTTGTTAGCTTGAGGAAATGGGAAGAGGGAGTGGAAACTTCAGGAAATTTAGGATGAAGTAAAAGCGTGTTGCATACTTTTCCAAATATCCTGAAGGAAAAATACTGTAAGTGCACAGAAATCTTGTATTTATGTAAGTGTTCATGTAAGTTATTCTCCTTTTTGCTAGAGATGGATCAGAGAGGCCTAAAGATCTGTCACTGACAATAGTCCAGGGTTGCTAATTGGTCCGGGCTTGCTGAAGAGAGGCAGAAACAGATGCAATGCTGTGGAAATGGCTTTTGTGGCAGAGACATGCTGCAGGACACCTGGTGCTAGAGAAGGGGGTTTCTCTGTCACAGCCATGTCAGCATGGCACAGTTATCGGCAGTGAAAGAAACAGGTGGTGACAACGGCCAAGACGGCAGCTGTGAACAGGGAGGAAGCCCACCCATGCCCCTTGATGTTTGAAACCCACCACAACCACTGGTTGCTCCTGGGCTGGGACACAGGTGTAGCAGCCACTGCTCTGCCCAGACAGTTCCTCCACCAGTGTCTTCACACAACACAAAGCAACAAAGATGCACACTGCCTTCATTTTCCTTCCTATCATTTGTGGTGAACTGTAGAAGAGAATAGAACTGTTGGTAGGGACCTACAGAGATCATCGAGGCCAAGATCCTTAAAGGGCTAACTAAAAGTTAAAGCACAGGGCTCGTGATCTCAGCAGTCACAGCCCCACCCAGCCCTACTTGAAATTCACCTGCAAGGACAGGCCATTCTCAGCTCAGATCTCAGATACATCTTCTTTTGTCAGCTTTCCAGTCTGTACCTTTTCACATGACAGCTTTCTTTGCTCTAGATGCACATACTGTCCTGTCTAAGAAAAAAGTCACCCACAGACCAAGTCTTGAAGGAGCTTTGCTTTCTGTATGAAGGCAATATTGAAAGCTTCACAGAGGTCTTCAAGGTAGAGTGGAGATGGAGGTTCAGAGCAGATTAGAATGTATCATAGAAATACAGAATCAGAGAATCACAGAATGTCAGGGATTGGAAGGGACCTCGAAATATAATCTAGCCCAATCCTGCTGCTAGAGCAGGAACACCTAGATTAGGTCACACAGGAACACATCCAGGCAAGTTCTTAACGTCTCCAGGGAAGGAGACCCCACAACATCTCTGGGCAGCCTTTTCCAGTGTTCTGTTATCCCTACTACAAATAAGTTTTTTCTCATATTTATGTGGAACCTCCTATATTCCAGCTTGCACCCATTGCTCCTTGTCCTATCATTGGATGTCACTGAGAAGAGCCTAGCTCCATCTTCATGACACTCACCCTTTACATATTTATAAACATTAATGAGGTCACTTCTCAATCTCCTCCAAGCTAGAGAGACAGCTCCCACAGCCTCTCCTCATAAGGGAGATGCTCCATTCTCCTTATCATCTTTGTGGCTCTGCACCAGACTCCCTCAAGCAGTTCCTTGGTCCTTCTTTAACTGGCAGGCCCAGAACTGAACGTAATATTCCAGATACAGTCGTAGGACAGAGCAGAGTGGGAGGAGAACCTCTCTCAACCTACTAAGCACACCTCTTGTAGTACACATCAGGATGCCACTGGCCTTCTTGGCCACAAAGGCACAGTGCTGGCTCATGGTCATTCTGCTGTCCACCCGGACCCCAGGTCCCTCTCCTCTACACTGCTCTCCAACAGGTCAGTCCCCAACCTATACTTGTAGCTGGGATTGTTCTTGCCCAGATGCAAGACTTTACACTTGCCCTTGTTATATTTTATTAAATGTTTCCCCAACTCTCAGCCTGTGTAGGTCTCGCTGGATGGTAGCACAGTCTTCTGGTGTGTCAGCCACTCCTTCCAATTTTGTGTCATCAGCAAACTTGCTGACAGTGCACTCTATTTCCTCATCCAAGTCACTGATGAATATACTGAATAGTACTGGTCCAGTACCAATCCCTAAAGGACTCCACTAGATACAGGCCTCCAACTAGGCTCTGTCACACTGACCACAACTCTCTGGCTTCTTCCATTCAGCCAGTTCACAGTCCACTTCACTACCTATCATCCAGACCACACTACCTCAGTTTAGCTGCAAGGATGCTGTGGGAGGCGGTGTCAAATGCTTTACTAAAATCAAGATAGACCACATCCACTGCTTTAACATCATCTATCCACCTAATTACATCTTCATAAAAGGTTATCAGGTTGGTCAAGCATGACTTCCCCTTGGTGAAGCCATGCTGACTGCCCCTAATGAACCTGTTATCCTTGATATGCCTAGAGACAGCACCAAGGATAAGTTGTTCCATCACCTTTCCAGGGATGGAGGTAAGGCAGAACAGATTCTAGTTACCTGAGTCCTTCTTCTTGCCCTTTTTGAAGACAGGAGTGCCATTTGCCTTCCTTCAGTCCTCAGGCACCTCTCCCATTCCCTACGACAAAAGATAATGGACAGTGGCCTAGCAATCACTTCTGCCAGCTCCCTCAGCACAGGTGCATCCCATCAGGACCCATGGATTTATGGATATCCAGATTGCTTGTTGGCCCCTAACCCAGTCCTCATCAACCAAGGCAAACTCCTCCTTGATCCTGACTTCATCTGAGGCCTCAGGGGTACGGGGCTCCTCAAGACAGCCTCTGGCAGTATAGACAGAGACAAAGAAGGCATTTAGTAAGTCCGCCTTCTCGGTATCTTCTGTCACCAGGGCACCCACCTCATTCATCAGTAGGCCTACATTGTCTCTAGCGTTAGTTTTATCTGCAATGTATTGGAAGTAGCTTTTTAATGAAGTTGCACAAAACACTGTAGTCAATGCAGATATACCTTATGCTCTTATGTGGCATGGAAGCTAGATGGTTTCAGAGATGAGAAGCCAAGAGGCCCTATCCCACACTTCCAGTGGGTGCAGTCAGCCTCCTCAGGAGGTGCAGAGGACTTCTCACTTCGATAGGTGTGACAAGGGGATAGTTACACTATGCAGTGAAGTAGTGCTAGCTAAGAGATTCACAGCCCTTCAAAGTGACAAACACTAAGACATGTGGTGACAGCTCAGTAGAGCAGCCCTGAGATGATGGCAGGACTCAGAAAGTCATATATGGCAACACTTACAAAATGACAATGGTTCCCAGAGCTCTTTGCAGTGGTGTGGGAACATCACAGTAAGCAAGAGGTTAGAAAAAAATGAGGAAGTGTTGGCTTTCCCCAGTGTGGTGGTGTTTCTGGCACTGCTACTTCCCAAGTCTCTGGATTGCAGAAGCGATAAAGTTCCAATCCTTTGGACACAGCTCTGACCTCAGGTCCCTATCAGGATCCACAGATCTGTGTTGACAAAGAGGCTTTGACTGGCCTGAGGATAGCCCACATACCCAGCTCAGCTGGAGCAACCCCAGCACAGGCCCCAACTTCCCCAAGCCCTCCTACCCCACTCTCCAGCTTGTTTCTGCCCTACCGCAGTGTGAGGCTGCTGCTCAGAGGAGGCTGTCAGGCCCCATCTGCCTGGCAGTCCCTGTGACTCATGCTCCCCCGCGGGCTCTGCAGCAAAGCACTCCCATCGATTCGGCATTCGGAGCCAAACGACCCTGCGTGTTTCTACCCACGTTCCCAAGCTCTAGAAGAGAGGAAGCTGTGCTCTTGAGCCTCTTTGCTTTGTAGCCAGCTTGGCTGAGTCTGAGAGGTGTGGAAGTCCTCCAGGTCTGAAAAATCAGAGAAAAGCAGACTAAGGGCAGGTTGCAGAGGCCGGCAGTCGACAGGGCATCAGAAAGGATGAGGTGTCTTCTTCCCTGGTTCAGGCTCCAGAGGTCAGACATGCTTGCACAAGCTGGGAAAATGGGTAGTAAAATGCATGTCACAATTCTGTGCTACAAACCCAAAGCAAAGAAATCATTTCAGCTCCCTCCTGACATTGCACGTTCCCAGATTAATGGTTGCAGAGCTCCTAGTTATCCTCTCTGTGGGGTGTTCAGTAATTCTAAAAAGTAGAACAATTACATTCTAAAATGACATATTTACATCCCTTACAGAGACGAACTCACTGCCCTGGGGTATCACTGAGGCCAGGATGGATGAAAATAGAGTCAGTAAGAAAGAGAGGACAAGAACAAGAGGAAGCAGGGGGGGAGCAGGAGGATGGAGATACCTCTACAGAACAGCAAGCAGCTTCAAAACAACCATGCATCTCAGCAGCCTGCCCTGGAATTTCCTTTTCTCGAGGACAATATCACATACAAATATTTACATCTGTTACAGAGAGAAACATCTTTCAGAATGCACCCAGCTGCCTGGAGGAAAGCATCCGTGAACAAGCATCCACAAGTCTGAATTCTGGTTTTTACACCCGCAAGCCCTTAGTATTTCTGTGCAGCTCATGACCAGTGTTAGACAAGGTCTCCTGCCTCCTGGGATGAGCTATTAGCATTTGCCCATTTTGCAGATGAATTAACAGAGAAATCTCACTAAATCTTTTCATACAGTGCTAGAAATAGAACCTAAGGTTTGGGTATGACAAATTGACACTGCAGTTGCTGTCTTTTCAGGACCAATATGCTCATGGATCTATTTGGCTGGCTTGCCATCAGCCATTAACCACACCCTACTAGCAGAGCCAAAAGGGACGCCAGGAAAGCTGCCAGCATGCCACCAGCATTGCTCTGCAAACCTTGGGCAGAGCTCATGCCAAAGCTCTGAGCATGGGCTTAGCTGAACCTGCGTTCTGTGAGAAACATGTGAGATCTCCGGGGCCACTAGCAGAGCCCCAAGAGTTGCAGACCATCAAATCCTTGTTTTTAGAAGAGGATTTGACTAATGCTTCTGCTTTTATGATTTTGTTGCTTGTTAATGTGATCTTTTCCTTTATGGGGCACTTCTTCATAGAGTATTTCCCTGCAGAGCTGCCAACCAGAAAGAATACTGATCCCTGTGCAGTGAACTTTTCCAGAAAGCAGCTTCTACACAGGCATTATAAAAGCAGCGTTTCTTTGGGCCTGGATGCCCTAGGACATGCAGGCAGGCTGTTGAGTCTTTGGACAGCAGGTCACTGATTGGAGTCCTGCCTGGCTCTGGTAAGGAGTAAAAGTGATGCAGTCTGTGTGCTTGTTTGTGAGTCTCCTAGAAGGAGATGGGTCTGGAGGGGTTAATTTCTGGTATCTGTACCTCTATTTCAGAGCTGGTCAAAGCTCCTGGTAAAACCTATTTTCATCACAACTTGTATATTTGCCATAAAGAATGTATGATTTGACAGAGCTTTGAGATCTGGTTGGTTTCCTGCTTCTTTGCTGCTCAGTGCCTTGTCAGCTCGCCTTGAGGATCAAGAGAGGCTTTGCTGCCAGGATGCCACTGGACACTGTCATGTCCTGTGGCGAGGGACACCAGGCTTTCCAGGGCCTCACAGTCTGGGACATCCCCACCTGGACCTACGATGGCCCCACTAGGCTTCAGGATGCTGTCACCAGAGGGGAGCGAGGCATGAAGGCAGGGCAGAGCGCGCCAGAAGATGGAGCTGCTGTTTCTCTGTAATACAGGAGAATATGCTCACCCACACAGGTAGGCAACAACGTGCTGGGGAGACTTAACTTCTGAATGGTAGATGGTAATGTGGAAGTTAGCACATTAAATAATTCATAGAAATGACACATTTAGAGCTGCATGTGTTTGCATTTATGGATACAGACCGTTTCACTTTGAGACATAAACCTCCCTCAAATGATAGCGGTGGAGAAGAAATGATGGAGAAGGCCATAAGTGTGCCTTTCCACCTGCATGCCAAAGACCAGCACAGGGGCCACACATCTTCCTCAACGATCTCAACAATTCCTCTGCACGCCCACCTTTCCAGTTCGATTCACCTAAATTGCCCACGTGTTCCTGATCCAAAAGAAGGTTCTAACGCAGCTGTTTTGAAGCGTCCAGAAACATGGGCTCCAACCCACCCAGCGCTGATGGAGGTATGAGACTGTGGGAGACCTCCATTCCCGAAAGGAGCAGGATGAAGAGGTGCTGGTGCAGCCCTTTCCGCAGCAAGGCACTAAGCGGGGAAGCAGAGGTGCCCGTGGTGTCGGGAGGACTTCCCGGCCCAATTGCCTTTCCGAGAGGAAGCAGCAGGAGAGAGCCGTGCCCTTCCGACACCACCGAACCGCTCCTCCAAGCGCCGCTCCCGGCTCCCTGCTCCGCAGCCTGTCGGCGTGGGGATCAGCTCAGGCAGCGGATGCCCGCCGTTCATTCCCGGAGCCTTCTTCCTCTAGGGACGGTAGCCCGCCGCCCGGTTCCCGCTCCTCGGGGCGGCCGCGCGAGGTATCACGGCGCCCGCACGCCCCGGACTCCGCGGCCGCTGGGAGGGGCCGGGGCCGGGCCGATGCCGGGGCGGCGGCCGCCGCGCCGACCGTCCCGGCCCGCCCCCTGGCTGCTCGGCCCGGCGGAGCTCCCGCTGCCGGCTCCCCGCCCCTCGCCCCTCGCCGTCGCCCCGCCTGGCGGATGGCCGGAGCGCGGGGCCGTGCCGCCTGCCTGCGGCGTCCGCAGCGGTGGCCGGGGCCGGGGGCGGCTCGGGCGGGCAGCGGCGCGCACAGCCGCGCGGGGCGCCCGTCGCCATGGCAGCGCTTGCTCCGGCGAGAGGTAAGATGAGTCCCGGCGGCCCGCCGTCGCCCCCGCGTCGCCGCCGCCCTCGGCGTCCCCCCGGGGCGGCGGCGCCGGGAACGGTAGCGCCCCGGGACGCCCCGCGGCTCCACGCCTGGCATGGCCCGGCCCGGCCCGGCCCGGCTCGGGGCCGCCCGACCTGGCCTTCCGCCCCTCCGGCCGCTGCAGTAGCCGGGCTGCCGGGCGGGGGGCGAAGGGGAAAGCGTCGGGAGCACCCTGGAGCCCGTCGCTCCGATTTTCGCCGCGCTTCCCATAGATTATTTCGTCTTGTCCGCCCCTCCCGCTCCCCCCCCCACCCCGCAGATCCCCTGCTTCGCCCTCTCCGAATCACAGCCCCACGAGTTTCCCTCTCCCCGCAGTCCGGGTCCCCCTGCCCAGCGGATTGGGTGAAGGGCGGTGGGGAGCAAAGGGCGGTGGGGAGCGAACGGCTCCGGCCAGGGCAGGGGGGGCTTACAAAGCCGGCCATTCTGCAGCGGATCTGAGGCTCTCCGGATGCTGGAAGACCGCAGCTCGGAGCAGCATTGGGCCCCCGAGCCGACAGGCGCTGGAGGGCTCCTGTCTCATCCAGGAACGGCGTGGGCCACTGGAGCAAGCCGGGTGGGAAGGGCAGCAGACGGAGGGACTGCAGGAAGATTCCTTCCCTGGGGATTAACAGGGCTGGCCAGCTTCCGAACTGCCTGTAAAGGGCACAGGCCTCACTGCTGCTCTGGTAGTTTTGGGGGGGAAAGGATGAGATGGGATGGAGTGGGAGCATCTCAGAGCCAGCCACAACAACCTGCTCTGAGCAGGGAGAAAAGGAGTTGGTCCAGGGGGCTGAAGAAATGCGGTGACCCAGAAGGATGGGGAGGGTGGGAATTGAGCCACTTTGGGCTCAATTGCACTCAATTGCACAATTGGGCTCAAGGCACTGATCCACCAACAGGCAGACTGGGTTTGCACTGTCTAGGACAAGGTGCAGAGCAGGCCTTTGTCTTCCTGGAGCATACTGCATGGGCATACCCCATAGGTGAAGGCAGGAGAGAGGCTGAGCTGGCAGCATTGGAGTCACAGGCAGAGGGCTGTGCTTCAGGGCCATAGGACTGCAGCAAGTTGCTGAAGCCACAGATTGCAGCCCTCAGTGGGATGGGATAGCTGCTTGCCGGGAGGTCCAAAGAGTGGTGTGGATGTGGGAGCTGTGCATCAGAAGTGAGGGATGTGTGAGGAGAGCAAAACTGGAACAGCAGGGAGCGGTGCAGATGGGGCCGTCGGTTATAAGAATGGCATTATTAATGTTTTGGGTGGGGAGCCTTAGACTGGAATAGCAGGGAGCGCAGAGTGTCTGGCAGCCAGTCCCAGCTGAGGGACTGGCACAAATCTGGGTCTTCTGTTTTCTGAAAGACAAGGGGGAGAGCTCTGCAAAGCCAAATCATGACAATGTGTTTGTGTGAGCAAGGAGAGAAAGGGAGATTTGAGGAGATAGTGTGATCTTAAATTACTTTTTCTCTTTTCTCTCTTCTACAGTGAACCTCATACCCTGAATCTCCAAGGGAACCTTTGTAAAGGATTGCCCCCTCCCTGCCATCTCTTCATTGTTCGTGAGCTCTGCCCTGCATTCACAGGGAAGCTTGAAAAAGCACGCTGAGCACAGGAGGGCAGCAAGACAGACACTGTGGTGAGAGTGCCACAGGGTCTTGCTTAGAGAACTCTCTGAATCCTCCTCCTCACCCTTCACTCCCTGTTGATGGCTCTCTCACTGACTTAGCAGGCATCTGGCCAAGAGTGCACCATTGTGCATGCACCCTTCTCACCGTTTCTGTGGGACTTTTGTCCTGCTTCCTGTCTTCTCTGAAATTCTCTATTAGCCCCTTGCTCAGTGGGACACTGGGCAACAGGTGCCTGCTGCTGTAAAACTCTTTGGAGTCCAAGCAGCCCCTTGTTTGTTTGAGGCCTTCACCAGTCCCTGGAGAAGGTGGTCCCTCGGACAGAAGGTGTCTGGGAAGCAGACAAGGTAAGGAGAGCCTTTTCTTTGGGGAAAGAGTGGAGGAAAGGAATGAAATAGATGGGGAGGAAAAAAAGAAGTGAGCATGAGAGACTGAGGGAAGAAGCATTGGCAAGCTTTCATGAGAAAGAAAGAAGGTGGAAGAAAGAAAAGGAAAGAGAACAACAGAAAAAAACAGGAGAAAGAGATCAAGTGAAAGTAATTTAAACGAACAAAAGGAAAAGGGAAGACAGAGATGCAGGCTGTTCTGCCTCATGCCTGGTGACAATGCCTTGAGGAGTGCCTGCAGTGTGCTTACGCCTTGCATCAGCACAGCAGCAGATGAGGAGGGACGTGGTTCCCCCAGTGCGAAGTCTCATTCATCCTCTTATAGTAATCCAGAGGCAGGAACAAGGTGCAGCCTAGCAGGAGGACAGCATGGGGGACTCTGAATCAGAGTCCACCTTGCACAACAATTCACTGTGGTGGCTGGCATGTGGGATGTTAGCCCTGCTGGCCAACTCTTGGATTATCCTCAGCATCACAGCCAAGCAACAGAAACACAAGCCCCTGGAGCTTCTGCTGTGCTTCCTCGCTGGGACTCACATCCTCATGGCAGCAGTACCCCTCACTACATACGCTGTGGTGCAGCTGCGGCGTGAGTCCTCCAACTATGACTGGAACGAGAGCATCTGTAAGGTCTTTGTGTCCACATACTACACCCTGGCACTGGCCACCTGCTTCACAGTGGCCTCCCTTTCCTACCACCGAATGTGGATGGTGAGGTGGCCAGTCAACTACCGGCTGAGCAATGCCAAGAAGCAGGCTCTGCATGCAGTCATGGGGATCTGGATGGTATCATTCATCCTCTCCACCCTGCCCTCCATTGGCTGGCACAACAACGGCGAGCGGTACTACGCTCGTGGCTGCCAATTCATTGTCAGCAAGATAGGTCTGGGCTTTGGTGTCTGCTTTAGCCTCCTTCTCCTTGGAGGAATCGTCATGGGCTTGGTGTGTGTGGGGATCACCTTCTACCAGACCCTGTGGGCACACAGAAGGCGACGACAGTGCTGCCATCAGAGGCCAGAGGAAGCATCGTCCTGCTCATCAGCACACAACACTTTCAATGTGCCAGCCATCGTGGTGGAGGATGTACGAGGCAAAAGGAGGTCCTCACTGGATGGCTCCGAGTCAGCCAAGACCTCCTTGCAGATGACCAACCTCATCAGCGCAATTGTCTTCCTGTACGACACACTCACGGGGGTGCCCATCTTGGTAAGCAGCAGGTTCTTTCTTTTCACAATATAAAGTTAAACCAGATTTCCATTCCTCTCAGATTTTAAAGAAGAAACTCCTTCTTCCACCCACCAGCCAAAGTGTTGCCACATTTGAATCTGTATTATTCTGAAGGGTGATTTTAAAAAGGTTGCAGTAGTTCCTTCACCCTTCCCCGGGAACATTTTTTTAAGACAAGCCTGAGCCTGGAGAATATACACCGCACCACAGCTAAAACCACTGTGAGAGTTTTAAGTGGCTAAGAGGAGACTGGAGAGGAAATTATTCTGCAGATGTACAGGGGAATCTACCTTGGTAAAAAGGATGAGATTGCTTTTATTCCAATTTGTTTCTGGAAATCTGATGCACCACCTTTAAAAGCTGTTGCGGAGAGGTTTATTTTTCCTTCTGCTAGTATGTTTGTAGTCAGCATTCAGGTTTTCACTGGCTGGTTTATTCTCTGCAAAACTGGAGAGCGGAGGAAGTTCTCAAAAGGAACCATTAAGAGAACAGAGGCTTAGTCACAGTTTTGTTTTTTTTTTTCCTGTGGCTGTGTCCTTTGTTTGTGCCTATTTAGCTCCAGCTCTTAATGAACATAGGGAAGAAGGGATGCTAACACCAAGTCTCATATTAGAGAGATCACAGCTCAGAGTATGCTCCAGCAAACCTGCAAAATATCCCGGGAACATTTTTTTCAAAGGCGTGTGCATACTAACGTGACAAACCCTTTAATGACAGATTATATTCTACTACAGAGGTGACTCCTGTTTTCCTTCTTTTATCTGCATGTCTGTTTTTCACAATCTTGTTTCTCTCTCCTCCCTCAAAGGTTGTGAGCTTTTTTAGCCTGCGCTATGACACGGCACCCACTTGGATGGTTCTGGCTGTGCTCTGGTGCTCCATGGTGCAGACTCTGCTGCTCCCCTCTTTCATCTGGTCCTGCGAGCGCTACCGAGCAGATCTCCGCACCATCTGGGAGCAGTGTGTGGCTATCATGTCTGAGGAAGATGGAGATGATGGTAAGTCCCTAACCACCCATCACGCATCTTTTCAGTAACCCCATTCCCAAAAGACTATAGAGGAAAGAGTTGCCTTCCTTGGGAAAATGGCATAATGGCACTGGGAGAGATGGGTGGCTATATGGGATTCGTATTAGAACCTGGAGGCAGCAACAATGAGAAAATGTATTTTGGAGAAAGCTCTGACATTTACGTACTGCCTTAGTACTCACTAGCATCCTAGAAAATCTGTGCAACATCCTTCACAGTAGATGTGAGAGATGTGTAGCTGTCAATCTGTAGTGAAAGACACAGCAGCCCTCAGGCCAACCAGCTGATCCAAAGGTCCAAGTCCTGGCAGGGGAAGATTCCAAAGTGAGACAGAAGAAATGAGGCAGTATCTGTGTCCTTTCTGCTGGAAGCAGAAAGTAGAGGTCCTTGTTCAGACTTCAGTCCTGATGACTGCAAATAGGATGGCAGAGGTCAGGTGTTAGGATGACATCTGCGTGCACTGATAATGTTCATCTTCTGACTGCCATACTCCTCTTTGCCAACAGATGGTGTGTGTGATGATTATGGGGAGGGCAGGATCTGCAAAGTAAGATTTGATGCCAACGGTGCTGCAGCTGTGAAGCGGGACTCTCGGGACATCAAACTGCTACCAATGCACCACATGTTGTTGCCCCAGGACAAGGTGCATTATCTGCAGGTGAGCTGAAAGCTAGTAGTGCAGACCCATAACCTACTTCATTCTCTGTCTCCCACGTTCGTGTCCTTTAGACTCTTCTCTCAGCAGACCTCAAATACTCCCCTTCCAGCCTGTCTTTTCTCCAAGTCTTTCATCGCCTGCCTCCTTCTCCATCACCCAGGTCCCTATCTCACGGAGGATGTCACATGATGAGACTAACATCTTCTCCGCCCACCGCTCCGCTCCATCCTTCCTACACAAGTGGTCTTCATCTGATGACATCCGCATTTCCACCCTCCGCAAGTCTGGAGGCCCTGGATTCTTGCCTCCTCAGCTGCATGACTACCAGCACTGCCGGCAGCCCCCAGAAGATGAGCTGACATCCCTACGGCAGTTTTTGGAGGGCGGGCTGGTGCCCCGGGGATCCAGCTCCAGTGCCTGCTTCTTCCGAGATGAGATCACCACGTTCATCGATGAGACGCCACAGCCCTCCCCAGTCTGCAGCCCACGGCACTCCCGTCTCCCACTTGCAGCTTGCCGCGATCGCCGCCTCTCGCTCGGCAGCAGAGAGGATGAGAGCACTGACCGGCCACGGTGCTTCTCTCTGGCTGGCAGCGAGGCCTGGCAAATGCAGGATGAGGAGCAGGCACCGCGTGAAAGGACCCCTGAGGCCTGTGAGGCACAGGCCCTCCAGGATCCCAAATTATGAGAGACAGCATCAGAAACATTCAGTGCCATCATGATTTTTAAATAAAACTTCAAACCTTCCCCTTGTCCCAGGACCTGATTACTAATTGACATTCTCATCTTTCTCGCCAGCAGGCAGGAAACATGGCACCCCATGGTAAAGAGAAGTGTGGCAGATCTGCAGAATGGAGCTCCACGGACACGGACAGCCTGTGCCTGCCCTCAGGTTACAAACACCCACCGCTGCAACAAACCACTTGGCACCCTCGGCAGTCTTGTCCCTTTGTGAACTCCACCCTTGCATTCGCTCTGCCCTAAGAGACGAGGCAAGCACGGAATGGTATTAAAATTCTATATTTGGAGTGTCAACCGTGTGTCTGCTTTTAAAATAATATATTAGTAATTATTTTGTTTCCATAGAAACAAAATGATTGGCCCAATGTTTAATGAAGATTCACTGGCTTGTGCAAGGGAAATGCCAAATGTGCGAGGCGCGCTTCCTCTCTTGTTAGCGTATCTGGGAGGCAGCAGATGCCCCTCAGCCCATGGGAGGGTACAGCGCCCATGCTGAAGAGTCATCATTTGGAGAGGGGGTGAAAAGATTCCCTCTCCATTGCAAGGTAGATCTAGACTGCCTACAACTAAACGGGAGCGGCCTCTGTGATTTCTGAAGCAGTGTTGTTTTAAAAACTTAAATCTTCTCCAGAAAGACCCTGACTCATAAAGTACTGTTTCTACTGGTGCAATCTGTTGATTCCAGTGCAAACTTCATGACTTTGCACAAAACATTGTAGCCCAAACTTCTCAAGGCAGGCAGCAGCCAGCTCAGAAAAGCTGCCAGGGCCTCCACTTGCAGGGCTCCAGCCTTCTATGCTATCAAAGCTGGGAACCGTGAGTGCTAAATCAAGCTCCTGCTCTGCACAAAACTCTTGGAAGAGGAGTGTGGTGGTATAATGGAGATGAGACTTCTCCTTCGTCCTGCTGTTTGTAGCTGCAGCCACAAGGGAAAGGGATGGCTGCATCAGAGAGACGGTGGCAGGTATTTTGTCCTTCATCAGCCAAGCACTCCACCACGTGATGGAAGCTCCCGAACTGTGACAGATCGATGTGTGTCCTGCAGGGGTTCTGATAAACGCGCCGTGATCTCTTCAGTGCCCTTCTGTCAGAGGGCCGAGGTCCCACGGCCCGAAGGAAGGGTCAGGTTAGCCGTGGCCCGGTGGAGGCCCGGACACAGAACCGCAGCAGGCCGTGTCAGGGCTCAGCCGGCTGCACGGGCCCAGCCCGGGATCGGCCCGTGAGGAGCGGGAAGGTCCGCAGCACCGCTCCCGGGTCCCGAGACGAGCGGCGCGGACCCGGCACGGCCCCCTGCCCCTTACCCCTCCCGCGGCGCCGGAGCCCGCTCACCGCCCGGCCCCCTGGGTGTGTCCAGCCTGGGCCGCCAGCGCCTCCACCCGCCCGCGGACCCCCGCCGCCTCCCGCTCCTCCTCCCGCTCGGCGGTTCGGCCATGGCCTCGCTCGTCTGCCTCCTCTTCTTCCTCCCCGCCGCCACGTCCTCGGCCGCGGGCCGCCTGGTGCCCTACGACCTGCTGTACGCCGACGGCGTGCGGGCGTACTTCGCCCGGGACTGGGGGCGGGCGGCCGAGCTGCTGCAGCGCGCCCTGCACAGCTACGCGGGGCTGCGGGCGGCCCGCCGCGCCTGCCGGGATGCCTGCCTCCGAGAGGCCGCCTTCCTCGGCGAGCCGCCGGCCGCCGGGCCCTGGGAAGCCGCCCTCTTCGACCGGGTGCTGCAGCGCGCCGACTGCGTGCAGCACTGCCTGGGGAGCCGGCTGGGCGCCGCGCCATCCGCGCACCGCGCCAGCCTTGTCATCCAGCGGGACTTCGAGCGGAGAGAGCCCTACAACTACCTCCAGGTGGCCTTCTTCCAGGTGGGCCTGCCCTCGGGGCCGGGGGGCGGCAGCCCCGGGGAGGGAATGGGTGGTGCGGCAGGGGAGCGGGCTGGAGATCTCCAGCACCCCGTGCGCGCTGCCGTGGGAGGGCAGCGCGGGGCACCTCCCCGTGTGAGCGAACCTGGGTGACAGCCTGGTGCCGCGGTCACGGAGGTCAGCGGGAGCAGCGGTGCTGAGGGGTGGGACCGGACAGGAGCGGGAGTGACCTACGCAGCCTTTTTTTCTCTGCAGCTGAAGAAACTGGACCAGGCAGTCTCTGCTGCTCACACGTTCTTTGTCGCCAATCCCCAACACCTCCAGATGCGTGAGGACATAGAGAAATACCGGCGTATGTCGGGGGTGAAGTCAGACAATTTCCGAGACCTGGAGGCCGCACCACACTGGGTGAGAGTCTGATGCAGAACCAGACATCAGCAGCTCATACCACATTGTAGGGACCAGCGTGCAGCCCTGGTCTGCTCCGACACAAGGTCCGTGGTTTGAGATGAGACGTACGTGCTTCAGTGAAGGCGCACTACTGCAGTTCTGACACAGGCATTTTGTGGTGACAATTTCTGTAAGCTGCGGGGCTTTGAAGAAGTACATTTGGCCCCAGTCCAGCGGAACGGCTGTCACTGCATGGTGGGCTGTTCGTGATCCAGGCGGGCCCCTAGGTGTCAGCACCATCCTGAGAGTGACTCAGTCTCAGGGAGTCGTTTGGTGTCACCCGCGCTAATGAGGAGCCTGGATCTGTCTTCTGCAGGAAGCATATGAGGCCGGTATGCAGCATTACAATGCAGATGAGTACCTGCAGGCTGTGGACAGACTGGAGGAGTCACTCAGAGAGGCACTGTCAGCACTTGAAGAGTGTCGTGCTCTGTGTGAAGGGCCACTGGAGGATGAAGAGGTGGAGGAGGAGGAGGATTTGCAGCCTGGCCTGTATGAAGCCATTGCAGGTAGTGTTAGAGGCCCAGAGGGATGGGTAAGAAAGCCATTCTTCTTACAATGGACATGCCTCATCTTCCAGTGCTCCTGTCTGGCTGTCAGAGCTGCTGGCTATCATGCCTCTCTTTCTTGCAGCCCATTATATTCAGGTGTTGAAGTGCAGGCAGCAGTGTGTCCTTGAAATTGCCACAAAGCCAGGGTGGATTTCTGCCACAGAAGATTTCATACCATCTCATCTTGATTTACTGCAGTTTGCGTATGATCAAGGTGAGCAGAGCTACAAACCAGTGGGTGATGCTGTGGCACCCCTTAACTTTCCACTTACTTCTGAACTTGGAGGGCAGCATGTCACAGGGAGAACTGGCACACTCACCTGAGCTCTGCCTCTGTTCTCCTCTGTCCCCATCTACCCTGCTCTGCCTAGAACCTCTCTTTGCTTGCTCCCTTGGGAAAGATTTCATGCTTTACTTTGGTCTCCTTGTGCAGCTCCAGTAATGTGGCTGTTTCCACTGTGTGTGGACAAATCTTTCCTATACTACTCTCCATTTCAAGATCTCGCTCCAGCTGTCCAAGCTGTATATTTTACACTTTCATTTTCAATACATGGCCCCAGATCAGAACTCTACATCTTATCTAGAGCATGTGCATGCATCTCAAGTCAACAATGATGCTTCTAAGTCAGCCCTGCCTACCCTAGCTGAACTGGTGTCTTATCATGACAGTGGTCAATCTGTCCTCCCTCAGCTCTTGGACACTTACACTCCCTCCTGTCTCCTCCAAATGAACTTCCACTAAATATAGGAAGCGAGCCCATTCTTTGTGCAGTGCATTCCGTATATTTTCTGCCCACTGGTAGAGGCACAGCTGGGCAGGGATTGATGTGTACTCAGTGTCATTCCTCCTACTGCCAGATTCTGACCAGGATCAGCTGCTGTTGGCTGGTACACATCTGCTGCTAACACCAAGTCTTTCAGACATACCTGTTTGTTCTGTTTTGTCCCTGCCCAAGTTGGGAACCAGGCATTGGCTGCTGAATGTGCTGCTTCCTACTTGCTCTTCTATCCCACGGATGAGCCAGTATTGGAGAAAATGAAACAGTACCGCGCAGAACTTGGAGAAGATACAGCTGTCACAGCAAGAGAGGTAGTTACAACCCCAGGTCTGTACTTTCTGGTCCCTCCCCTGTCCCACACAACAGCGTCACAGATCCAGGAAACACAAAGGGAAACATGTTTTATAGCAGATGTGTTCCAAGCTCCGAACTGAAGAAAGTGGAAGTTGAGTTTGCTTATAATCTATACCAGATAGGGTTCTTCTGGCACAAAATGGGCCCTCATGGCACAGAACTGTGTGTTGGAGAAGATTTCTGCCCTGGACAGTGATAGGTTTGCCTGTTGTGAAGTGGTTGTTTGACAGCCTCTTTCCTTCCGTAGAATATTCGTCATTATGTGCAGAGATCTCTGATGGAGAAGAAATTGATTTACTATGCCATGGAACATCTAGGAGGAACTTTTAATGACCCTGTAAGTAATGGTATCATCTTAAATTTCCTGCCTTGATTTCACCAAGATAGTTGCTAGAACTTGCTTCAGTAGCACCTGAATCAGAAAGGATCAGATGCTGATGAACAGAACCTCCCATGTACTTGTGAGGTGGATCTTCTAAGGCCTTTCTGCTACTTCTGAAATGAAGAGTAGCTGGGAACTGCTGTTTTAGCATATACATTAACCCAATCTTACTGTCCTCAGATCAAGGCCAGAGCCATTGGTCTGGCTGTGGAGAAGAGGGACAAGGAACGGGATGTTTGTCCTGATCTACTGTGGGAGAAGTTTTCTTTATGGTGAAACATCTGCATTTTTTCCTACAGGATCTTTGGACTCCAGATGAGCTGATTCCTGAAAACCTAAAGCAAAAATACAGGTAAGGTTGGATGAATTGACAAGGACTGAAATAGAAGTGTTGAAAGCAGGAGATAATAATACTGTCACACTGAGGAATGGGTAAAACAGGAATAAGAAGTCAAATGCTGATGACAAAAGAGGGCAGACGTAGCTCTGTGTACTGACAACCCTGATCTGTGTTTTTTTCCTTGCTCCCGAGAGAGGATCAGGAGAAGAAAAAGCAGGAAACTCTGGATATGGAAGAGAGAGGGAAGAGAGGTGAGTAGAAAAGCTTGAAGAAATATTTGGTTGCAGTCAGCTAGGCTAAATGCTGTCTTTTCTTCCGTCCTCAGACATTTGAATGCTAACATATATGCAGACTGACTCGAATGGCTCAGCAAGTCCTCTCACTGTTTCTTTTCTCCATCTGTGATGCATGTGTACTCTTGCAAAATCTCGCTGCGTACCTCTCTGGGATGGGAACTTAAAGAGCACTGTGGCTGGAGAAGCTGAGGTCAGTGCTGCCTGCTTGTATGACAAGCCTGTGGACATGTAGATCCCTGTTCAGCACAGCTGGCATGGATAGGCAGGAGTGTCTACACAAAACATGGTTCAAATCCACCAGCTCAGCTTCAAACAACACTTTTCTGAGAGGGACCAAAAGAAGGCAGGGGGAATGGAAACTGGAAACAGACAATTCAGCTTTGGCAAGCTTTTCCCTGAATAACACCAATCCAGATGGCTTGTGGCTGAATGCTGTAGACTGTAGAGCGAAGTTCTGTATTCTTTCTGGGCCTATACTCTTGCAGGGCTCTATTCTGGTATCTTTGCTTGAAGTGACCCTAAGTGGTTCTCTTGCTGTACCATGTGGGGGAGCAGATCGTTTTGAGCGCCTGAGTGCATTGGCATTCCTTACCATCCAGAGGTGAGAGGAGATGGGGGGGAGAAGACCAAAGATCAAAAGATCATGTCATTGACCAATACCCATTGCTTCTCTTTGGAACTGGAGACAGTAGGAAGATGCACTGGAGATGCTTCTGGGTTAAGATGCCTTGCCCCAGGAGGCTGGGCCTATTTCCCTCTTGGGGTACAACATACATTCAACTGTCCCCAGCTCTCTGCTGCTCTCCCAGCAAGCCCCAAGTTTCTGCTGGCTCCAGAAGCACTTGCTGTAGGCCAGCTTCCCAGCTGATGCTCTGGTTTCTTTGAAGCATGTGAGGGATGCATGTGGCCCAGATCTGCAAGGAAAGGGCACTTCTGGGGACCTGTCCTGTCTTCCCAGAGAATGTATAGTGTCTGTTCACATCCTTATCCAGGATGGGGGTTTGTGTCTCAGGGCTTCTTATCCAAAGCTTGCTTACCTCTGTCTGTACTTACTTCTACAGGTTCTTTGCCTTTTGAGGGTATCACAGTCACCATGGATTCCCAACAGATGAATGGAACCCAGAGGGTTGTGTTTGACAGAGTCCTGACGGAGTCTGAGTGTAAGGACTTGCTCCGGCTGACAAAGGTAACCCGTGGGTCTTATAGGAACTCCGTATGTGTCACTTCCTCCTCGGCAGGCAGTATTGTAATGCTGCTGTGGAGGAGAGAAGGCAACCTAGTGCATGTCCTCTGCATTATTTTGCTCCAGGCAGCAAGAGGAACAGGAGATGGCTATCGAGCGAGACGGTCCCCTCACACCCCACATGAGAGATTTGAAGGGTTAACCATTCTGAAGGCCATGCAGGTGAGTGGCTCTGTGAGTCTGCCATCTTCTTGTCCATAAAGGATGCTTTCCTCTGTGAAGAGCAATCTGGTCAGGGTTGTGGGCGTGTTTTCTTTCTTGCAAGAGCATGAACAGCTTCCCCTGGCCCTCCACATTTATATTTAGATACATTGTATTTGGAGGGCTCTACAACCACCTTCCCTCTTGTGGGGCAGTGTTTCGGGATTGCTACTTGCCTGGGTGCAATAGTCTTACAGGCCTGGGTAGGCTTAGAATAGTGGTGTAAGTTAAGGTGGAAGGAGTCTCTGGGGATCTCTGCTTTTCCACTTTGCTCACAGCTTGGCTAACTTCAAAGCTGGATGAAACTCCTCAAGGCTTTGTGAATGTAAGTGGTGATCATATTGAAGGTTTGAAGTTGCCCATCCTCTCTGGTGACTTTTTCAGTGCTGTGCAGAGCTCAAGGACAAGTTGTTTTTCCTTATATCTAGCCAAAATTTCTCTTGCTGCAACATACACTCTTGTCTTTTCACTGTGTTCCTCTAAGAAGTAACTGGCTCCATCTTTTTTTTACCTGCCTTTCAGGTGATAGGAGACTGCAGTTGGATCCTCCCTTGGCCTTCTCTTCTCTAGGTTGAAGAAACCTAGCTCTTCAGCCTCTTCTTCTAAGTCACGTGTTCCAGATCTCCATCTGTCCTAGGACATTTTAGTGAGGGCTCACTCCAGTTTACTAGTGTCCCTCCTATCCTGGGACACAAAATGATGCTGCATTCCAGATGTGGCTTCACACGCTGAGCAGAGGGAAAGAACTGCTGCACTGCACACATGCATACCTGACTTTTATCATGCCTTTGATACATTTATATGAGAAAATGTTATTTTGCATGACCACGAGAGTTTACACAGATCTGTGTACAGACTCTGTACACGTGTCATTTCTTAGAGTATCTCTGTGAGTATTCTAACAGGCTTGTTTTTCACTTGTAGCTAGCCCAGAGTGGGGACGTGGACTGGAGAGATGCCAAATTGCTTCTGCAGGCCAGTGAGAAGTCACGGAAAATCATAGAATCCTATTTCACTCCTGGAAAGAAACTTCATTTCTCATTCACACACCTTGTGTGCCGCACAGCAGTGGAAGGTAAAGAATCCTTCACCCTGTTTGTCTCCTCTCCTGAAGAGCCTTTTTCTTAGCCCCAGCCACATGCTTTCAGGAGACTCTCTTCCCTTTTACTCTCGTGTGTCCCTCATTCTCTGCTCATTCTTGAAATTTAAAATGCTCTTGTTCTTTTTTGCAACTTTCCTTTTCAGAAGAGCAGGAAGGTCGTATGGATCTCAGTCATCCTGTCCATGCTGATAACTGTCTGTTGGATCCTGAGGGGAAAGAGTGCTGGAAAGAGCCACCTGCCTATGTCTACAGGGACTATAGGTAAGAGAAGGGGACCTGCATTAGAGCTTCTGGAGATCAAAATGTCTTCCCAGCCCCGAGAAAGTATGAGCTCAACTTATAAATACCAGCCAATGGGTCGTTGGCTCAAAGTGAAGGCTGTAGCATGAAGCTGAAGGCTGCATCGGTGGATTCAGAGTGAGGTGTCATACACCTTCCCTAGGCTGGGAAGATGGTCTGCTCTTTCTTCCCTCCCTACATTCAGCATTGGCAGAGAGCACAATGAGACTGAGAGGCTGATAGATCTAGAACCAGTATGTTAAGTTGTCTTTTGTCTCTCATAATGCTACAGTCTACTGCTAGCACTTAGAAAAAGATGTTTCTTTGAATTTTATTCTGTCTTTCTCAGTCTTACTCTCCCACTGTCCACATAGTAGAAGACAGGAAGAAGCAGGCTCTTTGAATTTCTTTTGTTTGAGCTGTCAGTGTACTTTAGTGACTGTTCTCCCATTGATTTCTCTGAGGGTTCACTATCAGTACTTTGAGTTGGGATTTTCCACTGCATGTGAGAGGTTGTTCCAGATAGCAGCAGATTTTGTTACTGTATGGGAACTGTTGAGTCACGGCCTGAACCACTGATTGAGCACCTGGGGAAAGGACTGAGTCAGCCCTGGGAGGGCAGGTGAAGGCAATTTACCTGTGTGACCAGAAGGGGTGGAGACTGGCTGCACCTCTCTTAGACCTCATTTAAGAGCTGTCCGCAACTGGGAGAGGGTCTCTGGTTGAAGATCCCTTCCTTGTGGAGTTTTTCCCTGTGAGCCTAGGTCCTTGGAGATAGGTGAGCATTCCTTTCCTGTTTTGTCTTGCCATTCCACTCCTGTATTGCCTTTCCACTGCGCTAATCTTTCCGAGTAGCAGTTACTCTTCTGTGAAAGAAACAAATAGATTTTTCAAGATGGTGATAAGCCTTGCACATTGCAGCCAAATGTGACCAGTTCACTACTTTTTTTTTTTTTTTTTTTTTTCCCCTATTCACCATCTCATCCCTGGGTACCAAAAACTTTTATATGCCTTTTCTTTGTATGCCTTTTCTTTGAGTGGTAGCTGAAGCCAGAGCAGAAATTTGCTTTGAACAGCCTATAGTAGGGATGTGGGACTTAGAGGAAATCCGTTTGGTGTCTTTAATTCTATTTCCACTCTTCCATGGATGTTAACTTGGTATAGTCAGATCATAAAGTTACAATGGTCTGTCTTTTAACTGTTCTCTATTTCCTTTGCAGGAAAACTTGTCCTATCAACTTACTCCTCCCTGAATAGTAAATTCTCTGACTTGTATGCCAATGTATATTAAAATATCCTTCCTGGATACATGCTACTCAACTGTTTCTAGGAACATTCTGCCCTCTTGCAGGGTGAGGTAGACCAAGAAATGTGGTAGACCGAGCAGCTCAGTAAGGGCTCTTCTAGTGTCCTTTTGAAAAAGGATCCTATGCTCCAGACCATCTAAGAAACACCATTCAAAAACTTCTTGAGTTTTTCCTGTGTATCTGTGCCATACCCATTAATTAAATATTAAACAGAATTGGGCCAAGGGGTCCAAGAGTTCCAGTAATCCTTGTCCAGGTGAATAGTAGTCCCCTCCATGCTGCTTGTGTGCTATTCAGTGTGTGCTGTTTACATGTTCTTCTTCACCTTCTCTGTGTCAATTAGTAATTTCTCTAGTGGCACTGTTCTGATAAGTTTTTAGGAGAGTCTAAACTGACAAAATTGAGCATGTTATCTTTCCTTGAGAAATTAACTATTTTGTCAAAGATTATGTGACTAACCAACTTCTTTTAGAATACCCATGTAAAGAAACTGTTTTCCATGTACCTCATGTCCTTCAGTTATCTGTCTCCTCAGAAGTGAATTTGAAAGCCCTGCAGACTTCTGAAGTTGAGCTGATAGGCCTATTGATGCCTCAGCCAGTCCTCCTGCCTCTTCGTACATGTGGAAGTTGTCATAGCTTTTTCTCTAGTCCTGTGTTATAACCCTGACTTGAGCCCTTAAAGCCCTATGGGAGAAGATCTATAACTTCATGGGCTCTGGGGCTGGTAATCATGTAACTGTAATTATATATTTAATATTTTGCTTCAGCAGCAACAGTGTTGATATCTATTTCATGCAATTAGTCTCAATAATGAGCCCCTTTTGCTCCTTTAGCATTTTCTCTTTGGTTTAATTGAATATGAAGAGCAACTCGCACAGTTTGTGGTGTTTTTGTTTTTTTTCATAGAATCACTCAGATTGGAAAAGACCTTAAACATCATTGAGTTCAACCACAACCTAACCATACTACCCTAACTCTAACAACCCTCTGCTAAATCATGTTCCTGAGCACCACATCCAAACTGTTTTTAAACACATCCAGGGATGGTGACTCAACCACCTCCCTGGGGAGCCTATTACAATGCTTAACAACCCTTTCTGTGAAGAAGTGTTTCCTAATATCCAACCTAAACTTACCCTGGTGCAACTTGAGGCTGTTTCCCCTCCTTCTGTCACCAGTGAGAAGAGACCAACCCTGCTCTCACTGTAATCACCTTTCAGATACTGGAAGAGAGCAGTAAGGGCTCCCCTCAGCCTCCATTTCCTCAAACTAAACAACCCATTTAGTTGACTGTGGTCTCACCTGTACATCAGTCACCTCACTGCTTCTCTTTTTGTCTTGTACGAGTAAAGAAACTTCTTGCTTTAATTTTCTTTTCTGCATGCACCATGCCTCTTCTTGACCATTCCTATGTTACCCTTTATTCCTTGGTTCTCAGGACCTGGCACTTTTTGTTGATCAATATCCTCTTCCAGGCTTTGGATTGTTCACAATACTAAAACACAAACAAGGTCACACCAGGTCAGGTCTAAGATGTGCATAGCCCAGGGCATTGTCACAACAGTGCCACAGATGCATGCTACAGAGTATTTAAGAAAAAAAGCAAAAGCCAGGATGAGTGTGTGGATCTAACTCCATGGAGTACTCCCCCAGCCTCCTGTGGCTTGCAGCTCAGGACTCCCCTGAGCTAAGCATTGCTGTATTTAACACCCCCAAATGGATTCTCTCAATAATTGAACCTCTGGCTTTAATTAGGTGCTGCATTCTCCTATGACAAGTAGCGTGGGGAAGTGCCAGGGCTGAATGAGCTTCAGCATCCATATGTCGTCTTTCTTTTTGTCCACAGTGGCATTCTCTACCTCAATGATGACTTCCGAGGTGGGAGCCTTTTCTTCACTGAAATGGACACTGTGACTGTCACGGTAAGTCTGGGACTGACCAAATGAAGGACAGAGGACTGAGCGTGAAATTGAGACCAGGTGGGAGGCAGCACTAGCGTTGTAGCAAATTCAAATAGGGGCAGCTAAAGGCAAATTGAGGCAAATCTCAAACAGAGAAGAGGTTAACTCCTTTCTAGTAGAGATGTTCCAGGCTCTTACAGTCTGGGCAGCACTATATCTGTAGAAGAACAGTGTGCCCCAGAGCAAGGGGCTGCTGGTTTCATTGTCTCTTCTCTCTCCTGGCAGGCTAACGTGCGTCCTAAGTGTGGGAGACTGGTAGCCTTCAGCTCTGGCAAGGAGAATCCCCACGGCGTGCAGGCAGTGAGCCAAGGCAGGCGCTGTGCCATTGCTCTCTGGTACACGCACTCTGCAGAGCATGCTGAGCAGGTAAAGAGCCGTGCTGGAGAAACATACACAAATACCTTCAAACTATATCAAATCCTCTGAAGAATCACTTTTGAGTTTCCCTATGGGGCAGCAGTTCATGGTTGTTCTCTGACAAGATACCCAGTGGAGGAAGTCACTGGAGGAAGTCAGCCTCTGATGAGTCCTGCAAGAGAGAATGGATTCTGGCAGGGTTGGATGGATGTGGCAAAGACCATATGTGTCTCTGCAGGCCCTGTGAGCAGGTCTGAGATCCTAGCAGGGAGAGTCTCACGTCATTTTTCTCTACGGCTGCAGGAGCGGGTGAAGGCAGAAGAGCTGATGGAGCAGAGAGCTGCGGAAGAGAACCAGTCCAATGGAGAAGAATATCATGGGGCTGATCACAGCAGCAGATCCTCCCCAGAGGCTCTTGTTCCCAGTGGTGGAGCCAGGCCCACCAGCCAGAGGCACAAGTCTGTCTCAGAAAGGACGCAGCACCCCAAGGAGCTGCGGGCCAGAGATGAGTTCTAAGTACATGGGGCCCTGGGCAGGACTGGCACATACAGTGGGTTCACAGGTCTTGGTAGCAGTGGGACCACAGAGGCCTGGAGCAGTTTATTAGCATGCTAGAGCCATAGTGATGGGGAGGGAATGCAGTTTTCTTCTCTGTGACTGCCCAGCAGCTGAAAAATGGTAGCAGGAACAGAGTGCTAAAGCTAGATACACCAGGATCTTTCTTCAGTGCCCTGACAATATGTTTGTGTCGTTCAGAAGTAGGATAGCAGGCCCCTTTGCCAGATTCCTCTCAGAACAAGCTTCTTGGTCCTCTGGGGCCAAAGCCAAGAGTGCTAGGGAAAGCCTGGAGACTCTGATGAGCAAGGGCTGTCTCATATTCAGGAATTCAAAGGAGAAACCTCTGGATTTCCTTGGCGCCTGCAAACCTTGAAAACTGCAAGACTGGCATGCGCAAGGGAAGATGAGACACTGTGAATATATGGAATAAAAGGAAAGTGCTGGACAAATGTAGTGGGAGCTTGAATCTGTACACGAGGAGGGACACATGCAGATTGCTGGTTGCTGATGGAAATTTAATTAACAAATGATGGAAGGAGATTGAGCCCTTAATGAAAGAAAACAAACAAAGTATTTGTCCAGATGCCATCTACTTGTGATAGGGTAAGAAAGCTCTGCTATGGCTGACCCCTGGAAAACGTGGGAACTCTTTTAAGAAAAAGCACTGTACACTCACATTTCCCTGAAGTGAGGTTTTGGTTTTTTTTTTTAATTCATGCACCAAATTGTCTGTGAAGGCAGATATTTTGTTTATAATTTTCCATGCTGATATAGAGACAATCTGCTGTCACTGCCCAGGGGATTAATGTCCAAAGATGGGATTATATTGTAGCCAAACAGGAACTGAATGAGGTGGATATGGAGTATGAAAAAGAGCAGTGAGCGTTTTCTTGGGAAGCATCAGAGCTATGAAACAGGCCTTGATGAGAGCTGCATAGAGACCACAAATGTGGTATGGAAGGGAGTAAGTCTGAACAGTTGGGGCCAGTTTTGTAGGAGGTGTAGGAGCATTCCCCTCCTTGCTGTTTGGCTCAAGGCCTCTTGCCTGGTGAAATATGCATTAGCCTCAGTCCCGCAGTGCTGGAGGAGCTGGACTGAAGCAGGGAAGCCTTTCCCCCTTCTGAATCCTGCCACTTCCTTAATATGCAGACCTGGGAATCATGCATCAATGACCCCTTTTGCCTCCTGATCTTCCCAGGATCATGGGAAAAAGAAAATTTGATGCATGCATTTCAAATTCCCTACCCTTAGAAGGAGATCCACGAAGTCCTAGCATCCACAGATTCCTCCCAGTGATTTACATGGGGTTCCTGGATGTCTCCTGCTTGATGAGACCCTTTTTGGTGGGGTGTGGGGCCAGTGTCCACAGCTCTGGCTTGCTCTACCCAAAGGTGGCTTGGGTGATTAGACTGATGGCTTCCTGACGTCAGATGAGATCCGTTAAAAGGTATTTATCTCAGGCTTGGGCCAAAGCTGCGGGAGAGATTAAAAAAGATTGAGGCCAAGATAATCCCCTCGCAGCATCCCACTAAAGTGGCTGCCAAAAGGCACACCACCAAATCTTTTGCTGCTCCTGGCCTCTGCACCCAGTTTTGTTTTCCCCATGCAGAGCTGGAATTTGGTGCCCAGAGAGGCTGGTACTCCTACCCTAAACCATTGTGGGTCTTGCCTTGGCAGGACTGCTGTGAGTGACACAATTTCCTCTTCCTGACATGCACACGGCACAAGTGGCACTCTGTGTCTGCAAAAATGGGAATTCCTGTGGACCACGAAGTGCACAAGCCCTGCCCCAGTGGTTTATAATCCTAGCCTGTTCTGGCTAATCTTCACTTTATTAGTTTGTGGCTCACATAAACAGGGATTCAAATGTGCCCGCAATGGTTGCTTTCCCTTCAGGAGGAGTGTGCTACTCTCTCTTTTCACCCCTCCCCATCCACCTGCTTTGCATTACGTCCCAATCCGATTTCCCCAAGTCTCTGGTGTCTGATTTAATTTGCCTGACGCTGCTCCTGGAATCAGCCCTCCCCCAGCCCCTCCCGTCCACAGCCTTCCAGCTCCCCATGGGGAGATCAGTCCTGGGAGAGGCTGAGGAGCTGAGAGGGAGCCAGGGTGGACGACAGGACCGACTGGGCACCACGAGGGGACGAGGACCTTCTGGCTGGAGGGAAGCCATCCTCAGCTGGGAGGCAGGCTGTGAGAGTCCCAACTAGGGAAGACAACCCAACCTACGCTACAGATCCTGGTAAGGATGCTGCTTTGTTGCTCCCCATGTCACTATGGTAAAGCTTGGGACGCTGGGTTTCCTGGTCTGATGCTGTGGCGTGCACTGGGATCTTTGCACAGGTGCTGATCCTGTGTGCAGGTATCTGAGGAAAAGGGAGGAACAACTGGTGGAGAAGTTGGGGATGGTGCTGAGGTGCCTTTACAGCGATGAGGGGCTCTGCACTGAGATGAGGTCACTCGTTCTCACCATGAGAGCTAAATCCCACCGGCTTCCAGACTGGTGCAGGAGGGCAGTACATCCCCTGAGGGAGCTGGTGCCCACCACCAGTGTGCTACCAGTGTGTTCCTGCACACTTCTTTGCAGCCAGACAGTTTTTTTGACGGAGAGCAGCCCACAGAAAGAGAGGAACAGAGCAGGGTAATTTTACCCTGGCTTTTGATCTCTATCAAAGGAGAGGGGGATCATCTCTGTATCCGGCTCTGCAAGGAGCCCAGGGTCACCAGGGCGAGCATGCAAGGCCAGCCAGGGGATTATGCGGAGACCCAGGGATGCCACCTATTAATATTCAATCTTCCTTCCTGCATCTTTCCCCTTTCTATTTGCAGCCCTCCTTCAGCATCCCACAGAGAGACCACTCCCTGCCCAGTGTGGGGGAGTTCACCCCAAGGTGAGAAAATTTGAGGGTCCAATTTCCTTTTCTCCCACCTGTTGCTCACCCCCATCCCCACAAGCACATGGTGCAGGTGGCTCAGCAGGACTGTGCCTGGGAGTGTAGGATGGAATGCTGCGCTGACATGGTGCAAGGTACACGGCTACTGCCCTGACGAGTCATGGCGTGGCAGCAAAAAGCAGGGAAGGTGCCCAGGGGCTCGGAAGGAGTCTGGCAGTCCACCAACAAGAGCACTGCAGCAGGGGGCTCCAGCCAGCTCACCAGAAAAGGCAGAAGGGGAAAGCACAGTGAAAGAGAGCAGAGAGAAGAAAGCTGTTTTCCAAGTCTAGGAACTGTCAACTGGATGAGCATGAACAACGCAGAGAGCAGAAGAGGGGCTGAGGTGGTCTGACTGAGCACAGGCTGCTTGCATTGTGGTGCTCTCCAGGTGTGTATGGTTCACTAAAGGCACGGCGCTATGGAGCAGTGCTGGTGTCGTGGGTTCTCTCCTGCTATGTTGTAGTGCAAGAGTGACAGTGGTAAAAACGATTTGTCAAAGAAGCATAACAATTTGGTTTCCTCTACTGCTTTACATTGATCTGAACGAGCCATTACTTCCTGAAAGCACTGGGATTGCACCGTTTGGAAGCCTTTCCATTTAACACCAATCTTGCCAGCTTCCATGAGCTTATCTGCAGATCTGTAAGAAATGTGCATCCCTAAGGTCCTGCTCAGGGCAGTACTGTGCCTTGGCCTGGCTCCAAGCTCCATTCCATGTTCTCTTCATCTTCCCAGATTCAGTTTCCCCATTTCCTGCCCTAAACTTACATGACAGGCTGTTCTTCCGCACACCTAACATGGTCCTCTGGGGATACAGTAGTGCTGCAGTGGGGACTTCATCACTTGCTCTGAACAAATTTCAGTGGAATGTGATGGGTGGAGGTGCTAGGTGAAACTAGGGCTATTATTAACTGCTCATCTGTGGCTCCTTGTCTTGAGGCTGAGAACAATTCACAGCATCATTTAGATTGTTCCTTCTGAGGGATTTAAAGATTCAGGTGGAGATCTGAACCTGAGCTGCACCTTCTCTATACTTAGCCCTTTTTATCCATCCTTGAGATCATGCCCCTGCCCTTTGATCTTTCTGTCGACTCTGAAAGCCCTGCATCTAGTCATGCACATTGGCAGAGGGCAGAGAAGACTCCTAGGAAATGGCTCTCTAGTGCCATATTTGAGAAAAAAATACATCCAGGGAAAGGAAGAGACCAAGTTAAAAAAAAACAAACAGAAGAGATACAGAAGAGTCTGTGGGCCCAAGGAATGCCAGGGGCATGCATGCAGCTGGTTTCATTTGAGCAAGAATTGCAGGAGTGGAGGGAACAGAGAAAAAATGGCTCCCGTTACTGTGCATGTCTAAGCAGACAAAAACAGAAGTCCACAAGGATGGCTAAGGGAAGGTGGATGGATGGTGATTTCAGACAGGCAAAGGTCTGTGAAAAGATGGCCTGCACAACAAAGAGGCAGTGCTGTTCCAGCCAGGAGAAGCTTGAGCATGAGTTCTCTCTGGTGACAACAACATGGTCCAAGGGAATGGCATGGAGCTGTACTGGAAGCAGAGGGCTGTGGGGCACTGGAGCAAACTGCCCAGGGCAATGGGCATGGCCCCAAGCTGACAGAGTTCAAGGAGTGTCTGAGGACCACTCTCAGACACACAATTTGAGGTTTGGGTGGTGCTGTGTGGAGCCAGAATTTGGGCTCAGTGATCCTTGTGGATCTCTTCAAACTTGGGATTTTCTATGGTTCTGTGATTCTGTGAAAGAGATTACCATGAAGAAGCCAAGCCTTCATGCTCTGGGGACCAAACAGGGGAGGATGGAAGGAGAGAATGAATGGGAAGCAAAAAAACAGGTGTCCAGCAAAAATAGGCACCTGGTGCTAAGGGCTGTGGAGACATGATGGAGGAGGAGGTAGGATCAGTCCTGGGGAAAACTATGAGAGGGCAAGTTCTGGACCAGAATGAAGGAGCTGGTCTGCTTGGGGATGCTGGAGGTTCAAGTTTACCACTTAGTGTGCTAGGAGACAGTGACAGAGCTGCACACAGCATCCAGAGCTTGTCTGTACAGCAGAGCTAAGGAACAAACACCATGAGATGAGGAGCCTGCTACTGGAAGTTGCAAGGCCTCCTCAGCATCTGCCCAGTCAGCCAGTGAGCTGAGGGACAGAGTGAGCTGTCCAACTCTTTTCCAAAGAGAAATACCTTCAGGTGAGTTTTCAGGACTGACATTATTCACCCCTCTTTGTTCCACCTCTGGAGAAACCTCATCACCACTGCTCTGTCAAGAGAAATAAAAAACAGTGGCAGGGGACTGGCTCAGGTGCTGATCTCCCCCTGTCATCCTATACAGCTGAGGCTGACAGTCCTAAGCCACCACTAGGATGCATTTCTCAGGCTCTGACATGGTATCCCTGTCCATGCATGGTACAGGCAGCAGGCAAGGGGCAGCCATGCCGTAACACTGTTCAGGCTTGCAGGCAGTTGGTACAAGACTTCCTCTGCAAAGTGCAGTCTGAAAAATCCTCTCCCTAGGATAAATACCTGCCTCCTGGGAGCTGAGGGAAACCTGAATCTCCCTCAGCAAACTCTGACCAAGCAGAATTTAATCCTGCTTGAAGCAGCGAAAGACAGAGCTGCTTAGGGGAAGGGATTCTGAAGAGAAAATCAAAGAGCTCATGGGGGACAATTATACAAAAATTGTAAGCAAAATTGAGATTCAGGAGCTGTCAATGCCTGGGGAGTGCCCACAGCCAGAGAGCAACCTGGCATGGAGGAAGCAAGGCCTTTGGGCAACAGGCCAGAGCAGGATAGAATGCTGTGTCTCACAGGGAGTAGTAGTAGTTCTGCAGGTCCTTGGAGTCTTACAGGCCTTGGACAAAGTGCCAGCTTTAAGGATGAACACCTAAAACATTTCTGGACACACATTCCTACCAAGGAGGAAGATTGAAATAATAAAGAACATATTTGCCTACAAGAGTGAAGATGTTTATGAATCACTGAATCACTGGTGGAGTTTTAAAAACACCAAATGGAAAAGAGAGAACAAAACTGAGATGTTGTGCAATCATATAGTGTAGCTGTAACTTGAACATGAATTTCAGTTCTGGTTCATTGCCCTCTCTACACAAGCATATCATCTATGCTCTGTAAACAACTGAAAAGTGCTTAGAGAACAACAGAGGTGATGGGATGCAACAGTTTACGTGTAAGGAATGGCTAAGTGTGCTCTGCATTCTGCAAAAGAGATGGATAAAGATGAATACAACAAAGATCAATACAATTCTGAGTGACACTGAGGTGAATAGAGACCATTTATTTGCAGATTCTTTCTACTGAAAAGAACCTCCAAGTGGAACTAGTGCCATTTGGGTGTATCAGAACCAGGAACTTCTTCATAAAGCATGCTACTGAGTTGTGGAATTCCTCACCACTGTGCACTGAAGATACTAAACTTTGACTATGGTACAAAAAGTGACAGGACAACTGTGTAGAGAAGCTGCGAAAGTCTTGCATATCATAAATGCTGCCCCTAGCTTTGGAAGCTAGTGAAAAACTGGGGTTAGGAAAACAGGAGAAATACCACTATCTGCTTATGTTGTTCCCAGATTCCTCCCGAGGTGTCCACTTTTTTTTAATTATTATTATTATTTTATTTTATTTAAACTAGAAGGGAACTTTGATAGAGCACTTTAACAATCCCTCAGTTTCCTAAATGGAGGACTGGTGAGCACTGCCTGTTGATGCAAGTGTAGCAGAACTTCAGCAAGAAGTTCTTCAGCTTCTCAGTGTTCATGTAAGCAGGACACAAGACGAAAAGGACATTTGATGAGGTCTAGTATGACCTTTCCAAGTGCTAAGGGCATTGACTGGATACACTGAGACATTTTCAGTTGTTCAAACAAAATTCTGCCTTTATCAGAGACACCTGCATTTCCATAACTGAGCAGTCCTATTGTTGGCCTTTCTACCTCACATCTCTCTCCCTTAATTTCTCTTCCCAGATTCAAGGTTGCCCACGTGGAAAAGCCGCCTCTAGCTCAGAAAGATGGGGGAAATGGAACAGATGAAGCAGGAGGCTGAGCAGCTGAAGAAGCAGATTGCGGTAACGCTGGCAATAGTCACGAAACTGCTGGCAGAGTGTCTATCCCTTGTGTCTAAGTCTCCAACTTGGAGCTGAGCTTTCTCCAAGTACATCCTTGGAGCCTTCTGCAGCACCACACAGCCCTCTAAGTACTAATGGAGATCTTCCCAGTACGAAGGGAGGGAATGGAAGGAAAAGTAGACAAGGGGGAGAATGGAATGGACATTGACATCATGTCTGCAGATGAGCAAAGACTAATTCATCTCCAGACCTCTGTCTGTGGGGGCAGCTGGTGTTCTGTCAGGAGGATTCATGGAAAAGGTGTTGCATGGGGAACTGGGCAGCTTTAGACTCACCTCTCTACTGCTTGTTTGACTGGTGCTGAGCAGCCCTTATCACAGACCAGGAACCCCCTGTGCTGGGTACAATACAAACTAAGCAAAACTCTTATCCGTTTTAAATGAGCCTTTAGGGGAAGGCCTCTGAATTTTACTTGCTGTTGCCTTTGTCACACAGCTTTTTTTCTGTCTCATCCACTCTTGTCTCTCCTCCAGGATGCCCGGAAAGCTTGTGCAGACACAACACTTGCTCAGGTAAGGGCCAGGGCTGACTGGGCAGGTTAGCATGCGTGAGGTCATCTAGCATCACTTCCAAGGGGACTCTCCAGGTTGGAAGCAATTAGGAAGCAGGGATAGGGAGGCAGTACAACTCCTATTGGTCCCAGACTAATTCTTTCCTTCCCCCTGCTCTTTCCTCAGATTGTGTCTGGAGTGGAGGTTGTTGGCCGCATTCAGATGCGGACCCGAAGGACTCTGCGTGGGCACTTGGCCAAGATCTATGCCATGCACTGGTCAACGGACTCCAAGTGAGAAAGATGCTGCTGATCTGCCTGGCGCCTGGCAGCACGTAGATATAGAAAGCAAGAAGGCTCTGGCAAAGAAAGACCTACTAACACAATCTTATTCTTTTCTCGCAGACTACTGGTCAGTGCCTCACAAGATGGGAAACTGATTGTGTGGGACACATACACAACTAACAAGGTAAGAGTCACGTGGTTGCAGAAAACTGAGATGGGATGCGGGATTGGAACCCTTCAGATGCCCTTGCCCTGCTCTCCCATCTCCTCTGCTGCCAGAGGCCAGACATGGTTTCTTGTCCTCCCAGGTTCATGCCATCCCTTTGCGTTCCTCCTGGGTCATGACCTGTGCCTATGCACCCTCAGGTAATTTTGTGGCCTGTGGGGGCCTTGACAACATGTGCTCCATCTACAACCTCAAGACGCGTGAAGGCAACGTCAAAGTGAGCAGGGAACTCTCAGCTCATACAGGTGGGTGTTCTGCCTACCAGCGGCCTGAGTGCCTCTGCTTCCAAATCTCACTCTTCTAGCCCTGCTCTGTCTCTCATATTCGTTGGTTTCTGCTCCCCAGGTTATCTCTCCTGCTGCCGGTTTCTTGATGACAACAGCATTGTGACTAGCTCTGGAGATACCACATGGTAAGTGTTATTCTCTGTATCTTATTGACACGAGCAGCCGCAGGCATTGAAAACTCACACCAGTCCCCTCATATACTACATTTTGGGAGAACTCCGCCTCAGGGTGGTGTGTGATCTCAGGTGCAGACTCTGTGCAGCCCCTCTGGCTCTTATGGTTCAACAAGTGGTGCTCTTTCTGCAGCACCTTTCTTCCCACTTTATGTAAGGATGTTTTACCTGAAGGCCACAAAGAGCAACTCAAGAAGCCAGACTCATTGTTCTCCCTTGGCAGAGCAGCTGCTGGTTTTCCCTGTGCAGGTTGGGTCTATTGGTGAAATGGCAGGGACTATACTCCCACTCATCTCACGTGGTAGCCAGGCCCATGACTTCACTTCTTTGTTTTGCAAGCAGAACAACTCTTTAAGCCAGCTAACAGCGCTGTATGGCCTTGTCTGGCTCTGACAAGTTCTCTCTCCCACAGTGCACTCTGGGACATTGAGACAGGGCAGCAGAAGACCGTGTTCCTTGGTCACACTGGAGACTGTATGAGCTTGGCAGTTTCCCCAGACTTCAAACTGTTCATCTCTGGAGCCTGTGATGCCACTGCCAAACTGTGGGACGTGCGGGAGGGTACCTGCCGCCAGACATTCTCAGGGCACGAGTCTGATATCAATGCCATCTGTGTACGTATGCCATCGTGTGGTAGAGGGGAAGAAGAGAAAAAAGAGGATGGGTCAGCAATGAAATAGAGTCTCAGGTCAAGATTGAGAGAGGCTGTCACAGTCACATGAGGAACAAGGGTCTTGGGATTCAGCCTGAAGCAAAGACGGCTTGAGTTCAGGTTGGGGGCTGGTTCTTCCCAGGCACTGGGGCACCAAAATACCTGATGTTCTCCAAACCTGGCTTGGACCCAGCCAGTACACTGTCATCTGTGGAGCACAATAACACGTGTTTATGCTGCTTTGCTTGTACCAGCTGTTGGGAACCCCAGCTTCGGCATGATCTAGGAGCCTCGACAGAAGACACAAGTGAGGTAGCTGGAATATCTAATTCAGCTGAGGGTCTCATCTTCAGTTTGTAGGGGTGGTAACTTGGGATCACAAGGAGATTATCTGAAGAGGAAACCTTTATGTAAGCAGAGAGATCTGGGAAAGTATCCACCATAGAGGCAAGGATTCAAACCAGAGCCCTAGAGGTGACAGAACAGTGTATCAGTGTAACCTCTTTCTGCTAATTAAATGAGTCTGCTGGCTTCCTGGAATGCACAGCTCTTCTCACCTGACACATGGCTATTCTTCTGCCATGTATGTGTAGCTTGATTTTTCCGCTGGGGACTGGGGGCAAGACACACCCAGGAAGCACTTATGAGAAGGTGGCTTCCTGATGGTTAGCAGAGGGGTGAAAATCCATAAGATTTTCATTAAAATCTGATGTGCCCTTCACAGTTCTTCCCTAATGGCGAAGCCATCTGCACTGGCTCAGATGATGCCACCTGCCGTCTCTTTGACCTCCGGGCAGACCAGGAGCTCATAGTGTACTCTCACGAAAGCATCATCTGCGGAATCACATCAGTCGCCTTCTCCCGCAGCGGGCGCCTCTTGCTTGCTGGATACGATGACTTCAATTGCAACATCTGGGACTCCCTGAAAGCAGAACGTGTGGGTGAGTGGCTCCTGGAGGTACCCTTTTCATTCTCTGCAGAGGTCTTCTATCCCTACCAAAGAAAGGAAAAGCAGTGTATCCCTAATTTTTCTAAAAGGGACACATCCTATACCGACCAAAACTCAGCAATGCTTTCTTGTGCTTAAATAATAAATAAACTATCTTACAAACTGTTGGCTTTAATGTTAATCAGGTCAAGGCTTTAAACAAGTTTTTCAGAAGGGAAAAGTGTCAATATTCCTCTAAACTTAGCTGCTCACAAACATCAGTATTATTTCATACATTCTTACAGCACTACATGGTGGCCAGGCACCAAGCTGAGCATGGACCTGGACTTCTATCCAGCAGCTTTGGATGTTCTGTGATGCAAAGGATACACCCAGTTACTATCTTTCTTCCAGACATGGCTCCTAGCCCCCCAAAACTTATCACAGGCCACATTTGATCTCCAAAAGCATTGCTCTTTTAGTTTTGTCAAGGACACCTTCCTTTCTTAGCCTTACAATGGCTCCATGATGAAAACAGTTGGCAACAATCTTTTGCATTGAGGATGCTTCTAGCTGGATCTTCCTAAGAACATTGCTCCTTGGCCAGATACCCTAGTTGTACATCATGCACAAATGTTCTTCTGCACACTTGCTCTTACTAGCCAGGTGCAGATTGCTAATCGCATTTTGCAGGAACAGAATGATGTACAAGAGACTGGGTACATGAACCATGGGGAGAGCACTCAGCTCAGTCAAGCCCTTTGCCTTCTCCCAGGCCTATTTCTTCAACTGATGTCTCATCTTCCTCTCCCATCAGGAATCCTTTCTGGCCACGACAACAGAGTGAGCTGCTTGGGGGTTACAGCAGATGGCATGGCTGTTGCCACTGGCTCCTGGGACAGCTTCCTCAAGATTTGGAACTAAGGACAGCAGAGGAGAGGGAAAGAACAGCGGAAGCATGGCCCACAGTGACTGCATCATCAGCCAAGCACAACAGAAACACCTACTTGTCACTCTCACTTCACTCTACACACAGGTTGCTTACAGGGGTCTCCTAGAGTGAAAGGGGAAGGAGGGGGAGTACACACACCAGCTGTTCTCTCTACCTCTAAGCAAGCCCAGCTTCTTGCAGGCTTGAAAACCTGCAACACACAACAGTTATATCTCTGGACTTTACAGTGCTGTTCAAATGCACCCTGCATCATCCTTCAAACACCTCTACCCACATTTGGTATCCAGTCCTTGGAGGACCCCTCATTCAACACCTCTGTCTTTGATTTAACTATACCTAGCTTCTGTGGGGCTGTCATATTTCTGCAGGCAGCCCCAGAGACATACTAGGCTTGAGATCTATAAACATGTAACCCCTACCAAGCAGGTAGTGTAAACTGGGCTCATTTTTCACTGGGGAAAACTTAAGTCTTATCTATGGATAAATGGGGGAAAAGATAGCCCTCAGACCTTCCAGACTATCAGAGAATGTTTTATTTATTCTTGTTTGCTTCTTGCTGTTTCTTCTCTTTTTGCCTCATTCCTATATTGTGCAGTGACCCTGTCTAACCAGTAGCCAGCCACCGCTTTCATGTCTGTTCTAGATCTCCATAGTCCAGGCAAATAAAGAAAGCTGACATAAGCACCACAGACTATGTTATTTCCAGGACTCTTCTCCTGTGAACACTCTTGATTCTCTCTCTAAAGAACGTATTCTTTTAAGTCCACAAGAAAGGTGTTCCTCTATTATTTTGTTGAGAATAGCCCTATTTGTCCTGAAGTTCACTGCTGAGTTAAAACAGGGCACTGAAATTATATCCCTGCAAGCCTTGGAGATCTGTCACAACTCAAATCTCTCAGCTCAGGGGACAGCTGAGCATCAGAGCCAATGGAAAGCTGACTTATTAGTCCCTTATACTTAGAACAAAGACGACACACATACTGGGCAAGCAGAGTGTTCCTACTGTCACATCAGATACCAAGTACCAAACACCAGCTAAGTTTTAAGATTAATTTATTTACTATAAGAACTATACAGTCAGTACAGAGAACCAAAGCCTGTACTGTATACAAAATACATAGAGTTATGAGTATTATCTTCCCAACAGAAAAAGGTGAAGATAAATCATGAGTCTGGGGTCTTAGTTGATTTCAGGATTTCCCAGTCCTAGAGGACTCTCTGAAGAGAGAATTACAGCAAGATTTTTGGAAAAGAAATCTCTAGTTCTCCACAAAAGGACACTGTTGGTTTTCTTTGTTCAAGTCACTCCAAGCACAGTTCCCAGCTTTGAGGTTCCTGCTCAGATCCACTGCCACTTCCTTCTCCCCGGGGTTCTCCCCCAGTATGTGCTTCTTAGCCTACAGAAGGAAAAAAAAAAGATTGTAAAATACAAACGAATTGAGTTATTCAACTCTCAGTGAAATATGCATAAGCCATTTTCAGGCCATCCAGCTTTGACTGATTATCTGACACTCTTATATTAGAGTACTGGATTTTCCTAGAAAATAAAGAGAGAATGCACTAGAAGGGAGTAATGTTCCGGTAGGGTTGAGAATATAGATACAGATGAAGATTTGAAAGGGATCTAGGCATAAAACCATCCCATCGAAGCGTTCTCAGGATATCACCAGGCTCTACAGGCTTGGGAGGCCATAGTTCCAGTCTGCAGCTATACAAAAATGGAAAGATTTGTTATTTCAGCCCCCTTCCCCTCCTACAGTATGAGGCACTGAGATTTACCTGACGTTGGACAGGAGCACTGGGGGAATTATCTGAAGGGAGGATACTGAAGGGAGAACGGACAATTCCACCAGATGTTGCCAAGGTCTTGCTGCTGGCCTTGCGTCTTACGTGCTTGCTCCCTGAGGAGCAAAGGAAACAAGTCAACGCGCCACAACAAGGCTAAAGGGTCCTGGATTTAAGTGCTTCCTCACATATGATCTCATCTACAGAAAACATTACCCAAAAGGTAAGAGGATCAGAATGAGATAAAGACGGAGGCTGGCAGGGACCTCTGGACCCATCTGACCATCCTCTGCTCCGGCAGAGACACTGAGGGCTGAGTGCCAAGGACTACAACTGGATGAGTATTAGAGATCTCCAGGGAGAACCCAGAGCCCATGGGCGACCTGTGCCAGCGCACCATCACCCGCACAGCCTGGTGTTCAGAGAGAATCTGCTCTTCTCTGGCTCATGCCCATTGCTTCTAGTCCTGGCACTGGGCAACACTGAAAAGAGCCCAGCTCTGTCCTCTGTGCACCCTCCCCTGGGGTGTAACTCTTCAGTCTCTGACAGAACTCATTTAGAGAAGCAGTCCCCAGCCTGTCAGCTGGAAGAACCGTTGGAGACCACTCGCTCCGGCACACACCCGCCCCGCACAGCCCGTCAGTCCCCCCCAAGGGGCTCACCCGAGGCCAGGCCGGACCCGGCACAGCGGTGCGGCCGCGCGGTCGCCTCGCAGCCGGGCTCGGGGCCCCTGTCGGGCTGCAGCTCCGCGGCGCCCCGCAGGGCTGGATCCTCAGACGCACGCGTCGCTGCGGGTGGCGGCGGCTCCGAGGGCGCGGTCTCGACGGCGAAGGCCTCTCCGAGCTGCCTGACCAGGCACTCCACGCTGTCTGCGGGGGAAGAGGCAGCGCTCAGCCCACACCAGGAAGAGGCCCCGGGGACGCGGCCCGGCACTCACCGCTCGGCGTGTCCTTCATGGGCGTGCGGGAGATGCCGGGCGTCGGCGAGCGCGGATCGGCGTCCTGGGCGCCTGCCTGGGCAGGGCCGGGCTGTGGGCTGCCGGCGGGGGAGCTCACCACCTGAGGAAGGGGGAACGGAGGGCGCTAAGCGGGCGCTGAGAGCCGTGAGGAGGGAGGAAAGGGGGGAAACGCTGTACCTCGATGGGGGTGCGCAGGATGCCGGCGCTCGGGGAGCGCGGGTCGCTAACGTGAGTCAGGTGGCGGTTGCGGAGGGGACCGGGCAGGGGAGTGGTAGGAGCGCTGCCCGAGGCGCCCATGGCGGCGGGCGTGGAGCCGCACAGTGCCCGGCCGGCGGCGCTGCCGCGATTCAAATCTCCCGCTCGGTCGCGGTGGCGCCGCCCCATTGGTCCCCGCCCGGAATAGGGCCACGCCCCCGGTCCCGCCCCGGTCCCGCCCCCGCCCCGCCTCCTGCCTTCTGTAGATTTGCGTGAGACTCCGCCCCGCGCCGCGACGCCATTGGCTGAGGAACTCGGCAGGGCCGCCCGTGACGGTTGAAGGGCGGCTGCGATTGGCCGAGCCGGCCGGCCCGAGAGGCAGGTGGGCGGGGCAACCGTCTCCCAGCCACGCTACGGGCGTGCCCGCGCGGCACGGGATTGGCCAGAGCCCTTCCGAGCACGCGGGACTGCGATTGGTCAGGGTGGGGCCGCGGGCGGAGCTGCAGTGAGCCGCTGTCATGGCGGAGCTGAGCGAAGCGCTGCTCTCGGTGTTGCCGTCCATCCGGGTGCCTAAGGCCGGCGACCGGGTCCACAAGGACGAGTGCGCCTTCTCCTTCGACACGCCGGTAAGCTCGCCCCGAGGCCGACCTCCGCGGCCGGCCGGGCTGCTCCCCGCTCCCACCCGCTCTCAGCCCACCCGGGCGCCGGGGGTGCCGCCCGCGCGGGGCGCCATGGGATTTGTGGTTCCCCGGCGGCCGGGGCGGTGCGCGGCCCGGCGCGGCGCGGGGCCGTCCGAGACTACAGCCCCCGACGTGCCTCGCGGCGCGCCCCTCCCGGCCGCAGCGCGCTGGGGGCTGTAGTACCCGGCCGGAGCGGGCGTGGGCAGCTCGTCGGCCCCTCGCCCGCCGCGGAGCATGCCGGGGGCTGTAGTCGGGCGGGGGGCGCTGCCCGTTGGCCTGGCGGCGTCACGCGGCCCCGCGGGCGGGGGCGAGCCGGTGCTGTGTCACTAAGATGGCAGTGGCCATCTCCGCGGCCCTCTCCACCCCGGTGCCGGCGCCCCCGCGCCTCCTTCCCGAGCCGGCCTGAGTGGGCCTGGGGAGGCCCCGGCGGCGGGGGGGGCGAGTGCCCCTCGGCCTCCTCCGCAGGGGATGCGCCGGAGCCCTCGGGAGAAGGGCGCTGCCCTCCGAAGGTGGGGGCTCTTTGGGAAACAAAACCCCACCCCCTGGCCCGGCTTTCCTCCTGAGCCCCGCGCAGTGCCAGTCCCTTGTCTGCCCACTCTGTGCATTTGGATCCCTGCCTGTTTCGGCTTAAGGCCGGTATCTTTGCTGAGGTGTCTGTGTGCTTGTGGGGCTCACCTGCAGCCAGTATGGAGTTCCTCGCAAGCTTTTGCGTGCAACAATGAAAACAAGCAGTGGTGTGCTGGCTTTCCCTGTGTTGGGGCCTGGTAGAGCTCCCCACGGCCACGGGAGCTGTGCCTGCAGGCAGGGTGGCACAGCTGTGCTGGGAGTGGTTATACCAAGTTCTGACTGTGTGAACGATGCATGCTGCAGGCCTCTGGTGGGGCATCCTCCTCACCCTCCTGGGGATCTTGCTCAGACATCACAGGTTGGGTATCATCCTACTGTGTGTGAGGAGTCATCTGGGTTTACCTGTACATCGCCTTATAGGAGCAGCTATCCTGGGACAGCCAGAGCAGGGCTTGCCAGCTTAGTTCAGATCAGTTACTAAATAACTGGTATATAGCGATGCGATGAACTATTGCTGTTATTTGATCAACAGTTGATAGCATTCCAAGAGGTAATCTTCTGTCCTAACAGTTGGAATGGCATTCTTTGCTGTGTCCCTTCAGTTTTTCTCTCCCTTTCCTTCCAGGAGTCTGATGGCGGCTTATATATCTGCATGAACACGTTCCTGGGCTTTGGGAAACAGTTTGTGGAAAAGCACTACCAGAAAACAGGCCAGCGGGTCTATCTGCACCTCAAAAGAACACGTAAACCGGTATAAAAAAAAACCAAACAAACAAAAAACAAGGTGACAGTACTGAAAAATAATAGAAGTCATACTTGTTCTGAAACTGGGAGGTGGGAGATGTCTCAGTATTAAATCAGGTATAGCGTTTTTCCTTCTGAGTTCTAAATGATGTTTTTCTTGGTGAGTTGGGATTCGCTAGACCTTCAGCTCTGCTGATGTTGAGATTTTGTACTCAGCTGTTGGCCCAAGTAATTACTGCCTTCGCTCTTGCTGTCTTTGCAGTAGCTTAATTCCAATCCTTAAGGCTTGCCACAGCATCCCTGTCCCTCTAACTGTCTAACCCTACTTCTTCTCAATGCAATAGAAGGAAGAAGATGCTAATTCCAGTGCTGGGGACCCCCCAAGGAAGAAACCAACTCGCTTGGCTATTGGTAAGGAGGCCCCTTGTGTACCATATGTTTCTTGTCATTTTGGATCAATCTTTTGAAGCTGCTTGGCTTCATGGCATGTTTCCATTCCCTTTCTTCTAAGCTAGCTATGGCTAGTGCCCCCAACTGAATTCAAATGTAATGTCTTCCAGTATGTCATAGGTAGGCAGTTACTGCAGAGCAGTTGTTGTGATGGTAGTTTTGCTCTGCATTCAAACTTGCAGCATGTTTTCTGTAGGTAGGTATCTTTGTCTCCTCTCTTAACTCA